ATTATATGAGAAAGCCAGGGCGGATGTTGAGAGGGTGCAGGGTACCGCTGCATTGGCGCACACTCCGTCGATTGGAAAGGTACATAATGTGTTGTCATACGTATACCTCACATCGTTGATTACCTCATCCGCAGACCTCCCCCAGTCCTCAGTCTAGTCCAAAACCGAAGTCCTCCTCTGCCAGAATGGATCAGTGGGTCAGCGCTGAGCAAGAGAAGATTCGTCTTTTCAACCACGCCAAGGCTACTGCGGCGCGAATGCAGGCAGGCGCGCATTCTCCTCCCCATAGTCGCTCAAACTCCGAAGCAAACGGGTCAAGTTCCCAAGCGAAACCAGTATCAAACAGCCAATCCATTCCAACGATATCTCCTGGTGCAGCATTGTATCAACAGGCCATATCGTCAATGAACAATGCTCTGGAATCAAACAAAGGATCCCGGCAACCACCTGCATCACCTTCAACCGGGCGTTCCATCCCTTACTACCCCTCCGCTGAGCAAGAGAAGGCTGCTCTCAAGCGGTATGAGCAGGCTAAACTTGCAGTTGACCGGATTCAGACCGCTCAATATGCGTCAAACGATGATATATCGTCTTCTGCACCAATCTCCTACGACGCTCTCTACCCACAAACTACTGGGCAGTCTCAATCTTATACTCCAGTGAACAACGCTAGAGGAGATATGCCACCGCCGTTTGAGTCATCCAGTAGCCAACAACCTGCTTATATCAACGAAAAAGAACGACTGCGGCGAGCTTACGAAATTCAGGATGCGGCGGCTAGCAGTCAGCAGCAGCAGATATCGCCGATGCCATACACTCCTCCAGTACACCCATATTCGCCTCCCCCATCATTGGCTAACAACGCTCTTTCAGAGAAGGAGAGGCTGCGGAGAAGATATGAAGAGCAGGATGCTGCTGCTATGGGTCAGGTTTTACCGCCACAACCACCACCACCTAGAATAGCGAATGGAGCGCGATCCTCTCCGCGGTCTCCCCCAATGCCGCCTGGCGGGAGTGGGGGTGGTGGATTTAGACCACTCACGGCTGCTGAAGAGAAGGCACAATTGAAGGCGAGATATGAGGCGGAAGAACAACAAGGAAATGGTTCTATTCGCCAAAACTCATCGACGGGCCATGACAGTTACACTCCAGCAGTTCCTCCCCCTCCTCCTTTAGCACCGCGGCCTCCAGCCGAATATATCAAGGAGACACAAGAGGAGGACGCACGTGTACAGTCGTATATAGGAAATGGACTCGTTATGGACGACCCTCATCCTTATTCCGCTTCGTCGCTCAATGGCAACGGAAGACAGATAGCGCTGGATATGAGGCCTTTCACTCCTTTCAGTATCGGGCTTCATGGTACTGAGGAGGGCAGCCCCTCCCTTCCGGGTCCACCGAAATTTTATTCAAAAAACTCCTACTAACGAGTACTATCTTTTTATATTGATTTCTGCATCTCATTTCTTGAATACATATGCAGTCTAACGTTCATAAATCATATGTTCTTTCATGGGCCCCAAGTGCCGTACCATACGCTACAATAATAACTACAAGCTACACACACTCATTCGACTTCTCCCTCGCTATTTATTTTTCTTTCTCGTTTTACTTTCGACGTTGATTGGCTAGTAGAGGAAACAAATATTATAATAAAGATGTACCTCATGTCATCTACATCCGACCTCTGTTTCCTGGTTTGCGACTCTGATGCGATTTGAGAACTGCGTCTGGCCTGGCCTTGAAGTGATGCTGTATTTCATTTAATGTGCATCGCTATGTGCAAGGGATCAGGAGTAGGCGGTACAGGTCGCCATTCATCATGATCGCCGATTCCGTGATAGATCCGCGAAGAAGCGAACTGCACTTCTGGAAGCTTCTGATCTGGATAGGTGCATTGACAATACATTAAGGAATAAATATTTAAGGTATATTTAAGTTATTGGTTACTGGTGTAATCTCTAGGTAGCCGGAACTGCGCTGTAGACTTGAAGAGTGGCAACGGCTCTTGCGTTTCTAGTTCTAGTTGGCCACATACGCAATGCCCAGATTGAGTTCAACCATTTTACCATCATCAGCAGTCTCCGTGAACACGACTTTTGTCTCTGGGCGTAAGACAAGACAGTATGTTGACCCACCATAATGAAACATTCCGATTTGATCTCCCTTTTTGACTGCATCTCCTGGCTTGACAGTAATTTCACAGCTCGAAATCTCCGCCATGCCTACAGCTATGAAACACATTAAGCCAACACTTGGGTTGTCAAACTCGATGAAGACTAATGCGCGAGTGGCGATGGCGGTAATGAAGGAAGGATTGAGATCGACAAATAACGTCTACGTCTCCCTCGTCTGGGATCGCAGCATAATAAGTACCTGGAACTGAGACGGTCTTCACGACCTTGCCATTGACAGGGCTATGCCAACGATGATAGTTAAAGGGGCTCAGGAAAGCCTGGTAAACAGTCCCACCAACGAACAGAGGTGTAAACGTGTCATTGTCAAGCATATTGACAAGGGAATATGGCTGGCCTTTAAGCCAGAAAGTATCTCGCTTTTTTACGCCGAAGGCCTTGCGGTAGACGGTAGACTCGCAAGCGTTGCTGATGAAGTTGTCATCGTCAGGATAAACCGGGCGTACAACGTCTCGAAAAGATCTGGTGAAGAAGGCGTCCCAGGACACAAATCCGGGGTACTCCTTGTTTGGATCTGAGACAAAGAACTCGTCGAAATTCGGCATGAGCTTCAGGGCCTCGGGGCAGAACCACCCATCAGGTTTATTCGTAAGCACGCTACGTGAGGCAGGCGACTCAAGAAACTCCGACCATACTTTAAGCACCTTAGAGAAATGTTCATTGACCTTGGGATGGGTGAATGCATCCATTCCTGCCCGAGTGTTCATAACCAAGTCAAGGACAGCATTGAGGGGAGTTCCTGACAGAGTACCGTGCTGTCCATATCGAGGCGATTCGGTGATAATGGCGTCGAACAAACGCAACATTGTTTTCCAGTCCTGGACCTATAGATAGTGAGCCTCTTTTAAAAGATTAGCAGTCAACAGTTCATTGCACACCTGCCGTCGATTTGTCTGATTGTTCTCTACAGCGAATTGGTCAAACATCCGAGTAAAGCAGTCGCAAATATGGGTATCGCGTTCAATCAACTTTCCAAATTCTTTGATGACTGGATGCAATCCATCGTCTGAATTATCGCCAGTCTCGGATTGTATTATCATAGTGTGAATAAAATCTCTGAGCTTCTCGGAGTCTGACGTGAGATAGGTAAGGGTAGACATGTTATACTGGTGATATCCTTGGTCAGATTAGGTTCCGTGAAGAATAGTTCTGGCTTACGAGTGGCTACGATGACGGTGGGTTCTCTAGCTGGAGAAACGTAGCTGTAAACACAGATCCTTATATAGGGAACATGTTAGGTGTTAAGTTTTGAATGAATGTTCCTACTCGGGTACTCACATTAGTATTGCGGAATGGATCGCGCTAGATACAATATTGCGAAGGGACTCATTTGCAATGCATGTGTTGCAAATCGGTACACTAAATGATGAGTGAGAGTCGCAATAGCACTGTTTCAGGTGAAGACTGTAAGTGATAATTATAAAGGCAAACATTATGCTGTGGACTCAACTTACCGTGAAGCAATGACCACATCCTCAACGACCACATCCTCAACGTTCATATTATATTTACACAGGTGTGTGCAGATACTGACCGTACTAGCACTTAGCATCGATCCAGAACGCCAAGGCATCTGAGTCTAAGCTGAATAGTTGACACCGATGCAAACGGTATCAACTTCTTAGCTTCCGGTTTTGAAGCTTGAAGTTCATTGTGGCAGCAACCAAGGAGTAGTCCCCCTTCCAATCCCACGCCTCGTAATGCTTCAAGTCCGAAGTTCAAGTTATTTCAAACACCTAGTATAATACAAATGCAATCTATAATCGATAAATCATGTCTTCTTACACCCGCGTACGTACTAGTACAATACTATAATAACTACAAGATAAGCACACCCATTCAACTTCTCTCCTATTTATCTCTTCTTTTTTGCTTTTTGTCCCGGCATTGATTGATTACCATTGACGGAGGCAACACCTCCTGGAACAGTAGTACCTATATCTGCTACATCCGATTTGCGTTTCCGGTTTTGTGACATTGGTGCGACTGGAGAGCTGTGCATTTGACCTGGCATTGAACCCGTCGTGCCGTCTTGAGATGCGACTTCATCTAGAAAGGCGTGTAGTTGTTCAGGTGAAGGATTATTGAGCTTAGTCGGTGCATCGGTGTGTGCAACGGAAGGATCAAGCTTATCAGCGAGTCGATCCAAGTCCGCGTCTTCATCGCCGCTACGTGATAGATCCGTGAAGAATGCATCAAAATCAAAGTCCTGCCCCGGATCTCCTTGACCGTGATCCAAGGGCCCGTCAACGCTACCATCCGTGAAAGGCATATCTTGAGATACTGTGTTAGATGTGTTCATAGCATTGGGATCCATGCCTAGACTCTCAATCAAAGAATTAATACTGCTGTGCAAAGCATTCACATCAGCATCTATCTCTGCAGCATCCCGATACGTTTTCTGTAGTCTGTCCTCGCTTTCTACCAGAGGCTCAAAAGGAACAATTTCGTCTGCGGCTGATGGGGCAAGAAGTGAAAGAGAGGAGGGAGAGAAGGACGCGTTGTATTGCTCTGGATTAAAACCGCGCGAAACATCCATAGATGGGTCATACGGAGTCAACTGGGAGGTGTGCTGAGGTAAGGGAGGAGCTGGCATCTCTGGTATAGCATAATTTGATTGCGCAGACAAGGCGGCTAATAAACGTTGCATCTGCGTTGGTGATTGAAGCATTTGAGCCAGGGCAGCTTGAACCATGGCATCATTATTGTTAGGAGGATTGGTTGTCGTTAGTGAATTCGAATTGGGAGGAGCGGTCTGTGTAGGCTGAGTTGGTTGCCCGTGTAAAGCTCCAAATTGGGGAGATTGTGAAGCGTATGGTTCCTGCATCCGCGTAGAATCTTGCATCCGAATAGAATCCTGCGTCCGCGCAGAATCCGTTTTATTGGTGGTATTTGACGCGACAAAGGATTCACCTGACGAGAATCTAGCTATAGGTGGTTCTATGGACATGAAGCGAGGCGACGCCTCCCGAGATGATGCAAATATTTCTGAGGGAACTACTGATGATTCGTGGGTAGCATTAGAAACTGGTGTATCCGTCGATGAAAAATAATCTGAACAATCAACGTGAGATGGACATCAGCAGGTAGCATTGAACGTAAGACATACCTGGCGGCGAGAGATTGGTATTCATACTTGATCGGGACTCTTCGTCTACAATTTCATTGATTTCAACACTCCTTTTCTTGGCGGGGCCATCTGCTATCATGAGCCTCTGGGGTTTGCGAGATACTACGGCATGCGAAGGACTATGACTTCCATTTTCCTTGCGTATGGGACTATCAGCATGACCGAAAACACCGGCCAAGAACTTTAGAATACGATTGATGGTGTCTTGGTGTTTCTTATGGCGTTCGCGAGCAGCCATGGCCTCTTGCCACAAATGCTGATTCGAGTTTTTCAATTCGTTCAAGTCCGCTGATATCGCTGTTTGATGACGTTTGATAACTGCGATTCCATTAACGATCGAGTTTATGTCTAGTATTTGACCAGCTGAGAGGTTACCGACAGCAGTACTGCCATTGGTCGTATCTCTACTGGCACTGGCAACTTCATCTGCGGATTGGGTGGTCTGCTTTTTTCGTTGTATGAGACATAGTAGATCAGGTTGGCCTCTAAGAAAGTTGGGATGTTCAAAATTCCAGAACTCTGTCTCGTTATCACTCCTAAGGACGCCTTGTTGTAAATGGGTTATTTTGTGAAATCCGTACATGTTGAGTTGTCGAACAAAAGAGCTGAAGTTCTTATGTTTGAACCATCGCCCCAATACATCGCTGGCGAAGCGTTCTTGATCCAATACTACAGAACGAGTGAGCGCCAATAGGAGCGACGCGAATGATTACTGACCAAAAAACGAGTCTCCCGTGTCTGACCATCTGATTAGATCATGGTTCGCATGGTCATTTACCATTCTGGAGGACCCAGTGATAGTCATTGATTCAACACTCGCTCAAAGATCGAGAATGTAGCACTTACTCGTACAACTTTTGTAGAAAAGCCGGGACTACCTGCCTTGCAGGTCTGTTGAGATGGCTTGAACCCCCGCGTGGTGCTACGGCCAGAGATACTTGCTGATCAGATGCCATGGTTGTGGTTCATGTACAAGCCGTGAAGGCTGCGGGATGATGGAGAGACGAGTGAAAGGGCTGTGATATCCTGGTACAACACAAACTTGGTGCCACAGTATATTACCTTATTCTTCATCCAGAACAAATAACTACAAACACATAATTACTCTACTTGCAACGTGGCGGTTACCGGACCGGGCCTCAAGTCTGTCCAGGCTATAATGCTAGGTATGTTGCTTTTCTACATAGTCAATAGCACACAGCACTGAGTCATCTTTCTCGCAGTGGTTGGACTGACAGGAGGTATTGCCACTGGCAAATCTACCGTATCCAGTTCTTTGAAATCGAGGCAAATACCTATCATCGACGCTGACATTCTTGCACGCGAAGTTGTCCAACCTGGAACCCGTGGACTTGCTCAAATTGTTGATTACTTTGGCTCGTCTGTCCTTTTAGCGGACGGGAGCCTTGACCGTAGGAAGCTAGGCTCAATCATTTTCAGCGACGAAGTCAAGAGGAAGAAGCTCAACTCCATCATACACCCCGCGGTCACACGGGCTATCTTCTGGAATATTGTTCGTTGCTGGATAAGAGGCGAAAAGATTTGCATCGTCGATGTGCCTTTATTGATTGAAGGTGGCCTGTGGAAGTGGGTAGGGAGAGTGGTTGTTGTTTACTGGTGCGAGCAATCTTTGGTTCCACCGCTGTACTAGATATTGACCACAAATGCAGTTCGACCGAAATTCAGCTTCAACGTCTGATGAAACGAGACAACTCATCGCGTGAAGAAGCCTCTGCTCGTCTGAATTCGCAGCTACCTATCTCTCAGAAAGTCGAATACGCAGACATAGTCATCGAAAATTCAGGATCTCTCAAAGATCTCGAGGCCCAAGTTAGCTTTTCCTTGACAAAAATAGAAAGAGAGCTAGGGTGGTCTTGGAGGATTAGTTGGCTGTTCCCGCCCTTCGGCGTGCTATCTGCCTTATCTGTATTGGCTTGGAGGGCTCTCAAACGGAAAGGACCGCCGGCACGGAGAACATGATAGATATTTGGTTTACCACCTCGCCATCCTTTATCTTAAAATATACTCCATAAAGACGACGCACGGTCTTTAGTCCGACCCTGTGGCTCATAGTAGCCCTAATACTTGAATTTGAGGCTCGTCCAAAGCTGCACCCAGCTCTACTATAGTATGTCCGATCTTGGTACGTACGTGCAGTTTCCCCTTATACAAAACTAGAGTGAAATAATAATAATAGCCGTTGGTAGTCTTTTCTATATTGCAAATAGTCCGTGGTCCGTGTCCTGCACAATAAATACTAGTAAGAATTTAACTACCGAATCAAATTTCTAGACAATTCCAATCATCTCGCTCTTCGTCGTAATTTCATCCCTAAGCATGCTAATCCTGCTATCGAGCCTCGACGACAGATCAGTGTTGCTCGTCGCAAGAGCAAGAGCCTGGTCTAACTTCTCGTTCGCAGCCTTCAACACAGGGATCCAAAACTTCTTCCGCTCGTCACCGACTAGCTCCTTCGACAAGCAAGTCGCATCCGCTTCTTTAAGCTCAAGAACAGTGAGCTCGAAGATCGACACGCTGGAGACCCAAGAACTGATTTCCGCCATCTTGGCCTGTTGCTGCGCATCGGCTAAAAATGCACGCGATGCAGAATAGTCGCGTAGCGTTCGATGGACAATGGCGAGTAGCAGAGATCGGACAGCAAGTTCGTCGGGGGTGTCGAGGTCGACAGGTCCGCTCGTAGGGGATGCGGCAGGGACAATATACGCACTTTCTACGTTGACGGGTGGAGACAGAGAACTCCAGTCCTTGATATGTGCAATAGCAATGTCTTTGTCGATACGTGCATGAGCATTCCAGACTATAGTGATGGATCGATCAGTAAGGCAAAGCAAGGTCAATGTAGTTCGTGTCAACGCACAGATGGCAATTTCTGCAGCATAGGAAATGTTTCATCAATCAGACAGTTTCATCAATCAGACAGTTTAAATGATCATGATGGATGTTGGTTACAGACCTTCGGCAGGACTAATCTTGATGGCCTCCACAAATCGCCCTTCTGCTCCTCCTCTGCGCTGTTGTTTCTTCTTGTAAAATGCGACTGTACCAAGGCGTTAGATGTAGATAATGATGTGCGCGGTGAGTGGCTAACGTTTTTTCTTGATAAAGACTTCTGTGGGCAGATCCTTTCCGGACAGCTTCCGTTTGTCGAGCAAATCAGGGATCTTATCAAATAGCTCCTGTGCTTTGTCGTAGTTTTGAAGTGAGAATTGACATCCTGGAAGTTGATTAATGGTGAGTATGCACAGATCTTTTTGAGACCCACCAGCGGCGATGAAATAGTAGGTAGCGTGACTCCTACGTGGTGTAACGCCTTTTAGTAGACTGCATTGTTTGGGAGGGGAGATCATACCAGGTATTGAGCTCCGTCATTCTGATAAACATTTCCGACGACTCTTCGAACCGCCGTTGTGCTAGGAGAGTCCAAGCTAACTCGAATACCAACTAAATGCTATCTGAGCTAGCATCAAGGATTAGTAGAAAAAACCAACCAATGTATCGGCTTGCGAGAACGAATGCTCTCTTTCTGGCTTCAAACCATCTTGAAGTGTCTTTATAGCACCCTCAGCATCATGGGTCATGCGGAGGATTTTAGCCTAATGAAATCAATGAATTTATACAGAATGAAAATATAAAGTAGCGACTAACTCGGTTCAATATCCACAAGGCACCTGTAGGGTAACGGGAACTGATTCTTGAAAAACAAGCCAATCAGCACAAGGATGTCTGTGCGCAAAGGCCAGGTAATTTGTAGATCAACGAACTTCTCTACCAATGCTTTGTATTGTTTGATTATATGTGCTTCATCAGCTTGATACCCAGACATGAGAAGGATGACTCCGTGGTATGTCATCAATACAAGACTGTTGCGCGAGTTTGAGTTCAACTACGCAGAATAGAAAGAGCTCTAAACAATCGACTAACCCGGCAAAAATGGCATGCACGTCGGTCCTAGCAGCGGAAACAGCTAATGCTTGAAGCGCAAGTTTTCTATCATGGTTGAATCCAAAGAACCCTACCACGCCTCTTGAGGGCAGTCAGTGATGATATTGGCGACAAGATATATCCGTTTCTAACCTAACTTTAGCCGGAAGTAGCGAGAAAACAAGATTGAAGAGGCCAAATCCTGTGGAAAGTAAGTAAATGAAGGGAATACAGTGTCTTAAGTACCGACCAAAAGCTGTTCCGCCGAGGATGAGCTCTTCTATTGTCCCATTGGCGGCATTTCCGACTGTACCCGGAGCTGCGGTTGGAACTGAAAGAGTATTAGAGCCAGTCCATCGTCCAAAGAAGCCTGATTTGGTAGATGCCTGGGTGGTAACGGACGGAGTTAAGGAGTTAAGACTGAGGGTAGATGGTTTGGGAGATGGCGCAGGAGTAGTAGCTGGAGTTGAGTAAGCATCCAAACCGGCAGGATATACAGTCTTGTAAAGTCTGGGTTTGCGTAAGGATATGGAGCTCATCCTCATGTAGGGTACTCACTTAGTAAACTTGGAGTGGGCACTAGATGATATTAGCTATTTACGAATCATCACGGGTTGATAGTACCTACCTGTTCAACTCATACCTACGAAATAATCAGTTGATGATGAGACCATGATCTGAAATTATTCACATACAAGCACTGCAGATATCCGCGATAAGATTCGCTATTCGTGTGAATTGTTTGACCTGTCAATGGGCATACGGCGCATATTAATGAGGATGAAGTACCTCAGTGCATGGGTTAGACCCAGTAGCACAACAGCATCGGCATGCAGAATTTCCCATTCTATTCCCGCTTGAAAACGATGCAAGGTGGCAGAAGACTTGGCAGCTTTCACTTGCTTTCTAGCCCCGGCTTCGGATAAGGTTAGGCAGCGAGTGGCTTCTGCCATCAACGTCGTCTGAGATTATCAAAATAAGCAGCTGATGAATGAAAGGAGATCATGAGACGTACTTCCATTCCCAAGGCAGCCTCGAGAAATGCGCAAACGCCCAAGCCTAACAAGTGGAAGGGAGATTCCTGCTCGGAGAACGTTTCCCTAGCCGAAATTAATTGATTCGAGAACAAGTGATCAAAACCCTCGGATGCTGAACGGTACTTGGCTTCAAGTTCCTGTAACGAGGACATGGTTAATATTTGAGGAGGAGATGGGGGGTAAGAGTAAGAATGTTGTTTCTAAATATCACTCCAGTACCAGTGAAACGTCGGCACGGCGCCAAAATGAAATGCTATCCACGCGTACCTGCCGAGGTGCGCCCAAGGTCCATGGACCATCGAATTCTCACGGTTACTCCATGTCCATTAATGCTGCTCAAATGAGTCCTTGTTGGGTTTTCGCCATTACAGACTCGGATGAACTGTAGACCAAGCATATCAACCACAATTCAACGGTAGCCTGTTAGAAGAGCTGACGGTCAATGAACATGGCGGTCACAGCAATCGATCCGACAACACTCAAGCAGCGAAAGAACTTAGTGATAGGAAATCCTTCCGCGAAACTGGCTCTTGCCAAAGATACTGCATTTATTCAATCGTGAGTGCGACAGCTATCTCCATAATCGGGTCCGGAAATCATCGTCGTTGACTGGTGTAAAGGCTAGTTGGCTGTTTGAGCCGCGCACCCTTACCCCAAAGTGAAGCCCAAGGCTCCCAGGACGACGTCCGTATCGAAGCTGCTCATGTGATCTCTTCTATTTCTTACGGTGAGTGTTCTCAGGAGCTGTGGTGTGGAACCAGGAGATAGCTGACGAGTCATTCGAAGGTTCGGACGATGCTCTTCGTAGTCTGCTACAAGCTAGTGCTCTCCATGCGTTACTCTTCGCGCTCTCCACCTTGAAACCATATGACCCCATTGCGCTACAGACTGCACTGTTACGAGCACTACGAACAATGTCTACAGCAGTAGCTGAAGTCGTCGGTCCTTCTCAGCTTGGCCTTTGTTCATACTCTTCTGACACTCGGGATGAGGCCAAAGCAGTACTTGATTTCCTATTCGAAGTACTCCCCTTTTCATCCCTATCTGTGCGGTCTAACGTACTGCTCAGCTCGAAAATTTAGACGTTTTTCTACCCCTCCTGGACAACAAGAATGTACAACTAAGTACTTTTGTAGCACAGCTCATTGGCGCCACAGTACGAAACAAATCCCATCGATCTGCTGTTGCTGAATGGCTACCATTCACCGATAGAATCAAAGAAGTCAAAGGAAAGCGTGGATGGGAGAAACCAGAAGCAGCCAATTCCAATGCACCGAGTAGGCTGGGTGGATGGGTTGTACGAAACCTGAGCACACTTCTGCAATACAGGAATAATAACGTAAGGAGTATTTACGGCTACTGTTCATATCAAAGATAACCACCGGATGCAGGTGCAGGAGGCTGCTCTATCTGCTATCGCTGCGCTAGCAATGGATAACCCGAATGTCACTGCGGCTTTAACCAAATTAACTCATGACAGAGAATGTTCGTATTATATATACCGTCTTCAAATAGGTCTGATATCATATACAGCGCCTACTCTGTTACCGACCGTTTTATCCCTCACCACCAGTCGCTCCACCGAAGTTCAGCTAGCAGCATGCTTGTGGTATTTTAACGTATTCCATCTCTGTTTTAGGCACTAACTAACTCTGACAAGCGCAACACACATCATTCGGGCAAATGCGAGTAATCATCCAGGTACCGTTGATCAAGCTATTGCATCCAACATTATACACGCAATCAACCGTGTACTTTCCTCATCATCTGAACGCCCTCCAATGCGCATAAGGGCTTGCTACACTTTGTGTAAGTACTTAATATATCTTTTGCTAGCATAATTCACATGTAGCACAGATTACCTTGTGAAAGACGACAAAGATATCTGTCAAGCAGCAGTTGATCATGGCGCGTTAGAAAAAATAGCATCGTTGACTAAATCTATAACCCCTCTTACGAAGGACGAGGAGCGGGACGAAGATGAGCCCGAGAGCACAGCTGCGTTGAGAGAGGTACGTAAATCAGACTACTATCACTTGTAACTGTACGAACACAGGTTTTTCAGGCGGCGCTCATTGTCATCGCGGCGCTATCGCTTTTCGACAATGACATACGCCGTGAAATAGCTGATACACTGCAGCTGATCCCAGTCATACACATATCTCTGTCTAATCGGCATGTCGGCGTTCGCTATGCGGCCTGCCAGTGCGTCAGAGCACTTAGTCGCGCAGTCGCAATCTTGCGCACCAATATCATGGACAGTGGATTGGGTTCAAGCTTGTTTCAAATTTTCAAGAAAGAAGAGGAAGATCCACGTGTGACAGCCGCTGCGTTGGCTGCTATTACTAACATGATAAACGACTTTTCACCCCTTCAGCCAGTGAGCGATCCGATAAACGTATGGTGTAAATTAATTAATAACTTGCATTCAGAAACTGTTAGCACAGGGGTTAATGCCACGGCTCAAGCAACTACTGGATTCCGGTAATTCGCCCACTAAAGTCAATGTTTTGTGGGCTATCAAAAACCTTCTGCGAAAAAGCACGTTAGAAACTAAGCAGGAAGTCATGACCTGTCTTAAATGGAGGCAACTCGCGAAGTAGGCTCCTTACAGTCTATAACTAACATCGTGTTGACCAGCGTAGTTTTTGTATGGACCCAGATACCGGTATACAGGAACAGGCAACTGCAATTTTCCGGAATTTGGCTGAGAATGATTCGGGCGTCGACCTTATTTTTCAAGAAATGGAGAAAGACCTCCTTTTCCACGCCTTGCTGACAGGCTTGGATTCGCCAGATGAGGACGTGAAACTCCAAGTACGAAACTGTTTGCATCTGGCGCGCGTCCACCACTAATCATGAGAAAATAGGCTGCATACTTCTTGGCAAATTTGGCCAACGGACAGATTACTCATCAAGACTGCATATTTACCTATCCAGATATTCTGCATTCTATGCATTCTTGCATCACGGATGCGAAACCAGAAATACGTCATCCCATCATGGGTTGCATCTACCAAATGCTATCATGTAACCCCAAGAGACGAGACGACCTCAACGACTTTGGTATCATGGCAACTTTAAGACACATGTGCGATCACACAGGAGGTGTGAGTATGAGTCCTGGTGGCCGGTACCCAAGTCACCACATTCCTATGGATGATGACAAGGACACTGTCTTGTTGGCTCGGCAAATATTGGAATTAGATCGTGTTGATCATTAGTCATTCAAAATCTTCAGCGAATTCTTATGTACGATGAGGTGGGATATTATCTAGGTCTGGGGTTCTTACTGTTTGTATTAATGATGTGGAGCTATGCTATAATGTAAACCGTTAAAGATAGCAGAAGGGCTTGTTTAGAAGTCGATTTCTTAAAAAGCAGTGGGCATCGACCTCGTTAAACAAGACCAAGTGAAGTTATAGTGGCAGATTAAATGGCCATACTCCGATTTTCCTGTCGCCAACAAGGCAAAGATACACATGTTTAATAACTTCAAGTTACAGGTAAGCACATTTGAAAGATAGACAATCCAAATACACAAACGTTCAGGCTGATTCAGAGGTAAAGTGACATCAACCGGATTCCAACTCGAGACTTTCGAATAGGAGCATTTGTGATCAAGCAAAGTTGAGATACCGTGACTGAGACAGCCTCGACATGTAATAAAATTGCCAGAAATATAAAGGCCCATAGCAACTGTGTTCGATGTCGTCTTTCCAAATGGTATACTTATGCTTAGAATTTGTAGGGGCGAGTATTATAACATCAAGAGAAGAGTTACCAGAAACGTGGCCCTAACCCGAGGCTCGCTGTCTTTCTCCGTATTCCATCTTCGCCCGCTCGTACCAGATGTCTATTCCATCTCCGCAACTAACGCCAGTCAAAACATCAGCATCTCCTTCTCCATTTCCTTCAACGAACCCGCGAAATCCAGTTGCGCTGCGGCTTCGCAAGATCCTTGGGACTAACTTTACAGATGAAGCCACCAAAGATGCACTAAAGACGCTGTCTGAGCTCTATGGCGTGCCATCGCAATCCAACGGCAGAAACGAAAAGCAGGTAACATTGGAATCGGACGACGAGGATAGCAGCGACAACGAACGAATAGACAGCGTTAACTTGGATTCTCTTACGTGTGAGACGGCGTCTAGAGCTCGTAAACATCTCCGGAGGGACTTGGAGAACAAGCTGGGGGAGGGAAGTCATAAGTTCTTGACCGCATTTGCTGAGGTAGATAGGGTGAGCTATCAATTTTACTTGTATATGCTGAGCATTAAGTAGTGTCACGTCCTGAGCAGAAGCTTGATGAACTTCAAACCCACGTTTCGACCATGCGAGTATGCTGTGATGATGCAGAGGCTCAATTACTGCTTACAAGTACAGCAAGTAAATCTCTGCTAGACCGCGCGGAGAGTCTAAGGGATGAACGGCACGTCTGGTTTCTTATATATCCTCTTCGATATCTGACAAATTTCAACTATAGTAACGAGGTTGAATCCAGGAAATCAATCATCACCCTTTTCCTCTCCCGATTTACCCTTACCCGGTCCGAAATTGATGCACTCACCGCTCGTGACGTGCCCGTTGGTCCAACATTTTTTGCCGCTATGTCCAAAGCAGAACACGTAAGAAGAGACTGTAGGGTGCTTATGGTGGGTGAAGATGGGCCCACGAAAGCTGGGTACGTGTTTTGCCTTTTATACTGCGCCCAATTCGCCTCCTTCTGTACTCTTATACACAATTGACATCTCATACAGACTCGATATAATGTCTACCACTTCTTCTTATCTTGAACAAGCCTACGATAAAATTTCCCGATGGTGTACGTTTGAGTTCAGGGAGATCGGGCGAGAGCCGCACTTTGAAGCATCCCCTGCTATGCGTGAGGCTATTAGGAGATTGAAAGTCAGGGCTGAATTACTGAGGTGAGTTTGTGGCTTTTGTTCTCTTGTACTAGTCTGCTCTTTCCGCCCACTGCAAGCGCATGTATGCCTATTTTGAATGTCTACACACATATTTATAGTAGCTACAAGTGTTACTTCGGACAATACTCGTACTGTAGTGGCATATATGCCGTTATTCGGTCCTGATATCTATTTTCTAGTAATCTTTCACGTTCTTTTTATTCCTTTTATCTTTTATTGTGAACTACTTCGCTAATCAATCCTTTTTTCTTTCGGTAAAATCAGCGAAACATTGCCCACGCTTGCACATGCACGTTCCCAGACACTTCTCGCTGCGTTCACAAACGCTCTGACTCGTGGTTCTTCATCCTCATCTATCGTCCCTTCCCAAGTAAAACAATCAGAGAAGTCAATGGATTTCACTGGAACGAGGCCAATTGAACTGCACGCGCATGATCCACTACGATACGTCGGTGACATGTTGGCATGGGTACACCAAGCGGTTGCTGCAGAGAGAGAGGGTATGGAGGGCCTGTTTGGCATTGGGGAAGGAGAAGAGGGCAATTACGACGACATTGATGATGAAATGGGGGATTACGACACAGAAACGGAATCGGGAGGAGAAGGCGTCGACGATGATGGCGATAGCGAGGTCGAAGACAGAAAGAACAGACGAGTCGAAGAGCGTGCAAGGTCTTCGAACGTACGGAGAGGGCGGATGGTGGGCGCTCCGCGAGTTTTCGGATCGACTGACGAAGACGGGTGGGTTGGTGCGTTAGTAGACGGGGCTATCGGCGGGTTATGCGTACCATTGAGGGTAGGTTTTATTTCGCTTGCTCACTGTGCCCTTTCGAGACGCTTACTGACGCTACTTCACAATTTTAATCTCACCTACCATCCTGCCAGGCCCGTATCACGCAAACCATCCAAGCCCAAGACCAATCACCTCTCACGTCGTACAAGCTCGCCAATCTCATGTCGTACTACGCGCTTACCATGGCACGTGTCGTGGGGAAAGGGGCAATAGTTGTTAAAGTTCTATATGCGTGAGTGCAGCCACTAGTCAATTATATGTTTTGAATCGATAAAGATCATCGAGCAACGAGCGTACTGTTGATCAGTGTGGCCATTATTCTTATGTTATTAACAGACGAGTCCTGACGCTCATCATTCTCGATATGATTACTATCCAGACTTACGGAAATGGGGTATAAAGTGTTCTTTGATGGCATAGAGGCACAAGGTAGGGCGTTGCTGAGAATACCTTTGGTGAGCGGACACTTTCATTTCCAACTTCTCGTGACTGAGTACTCTTATATCCTTATGTTCCCCAGGACCTCGACGATCCAGATGTCTCGCCTCCTCTTCCCATCCTCGAACATGCACAGCGGTTGCGGGAAATCATGAATGTTTACGACTCGTCACTTCTAGGTGACGGCGACCCTGTTCTTGACGACGAAGATGTATCCGAAACAGAGAGGAGTGGTTCCGAATCTGGCCCCGGTGAAAAGTCTGCTACTTCGGCAAACTCTACAATTTTTTCCGTAGTTCCCTCAAAGCGTAACTCGAATCATTATACTTCAATTCAACGTATACTAGATGTCATGCTTGACCCTGCGGTGTCGATGTGTCTTGGGGCTGCAGCTGAGAAGAAGCGAGTACGACCTCGGTGGGACGACGGTGTGTTTGGATTGAATTGCTTAGACTATATACAGGTATGATTTGCTTTATGCGAAAACTCTGTGTCATTCCCTCTCGAATGGAGTAATGACTGTGTTCTACGGATCAGACCTTATTAGAACCTTTTGCGTTCACTGTCGACAAACAAGGAGAGTTGCAAGACATGATTGACGAGAGAGTTCAGGCACTTACAGATGAGCACGTAAGTCTCCGGATTTCTTCTGCCATTTTCTTTCCATTTAACTCTCTTCTTTTATTCAGTATGAAAACGTTCTAAAGGATGCGGGTTTGCATGATGCTGTCGTTGCGTGTGAGACCTGTAGCTCGAATGTACGACCCTTCCTACAGTCCTTTTTTGTTGCTGAAAAGCCTTGTTTGCAGGATCCCCTTTCCCACATCCCTGCAACTCAGCCCTCTGAGCTTGTCACTACTCTCGCCCGCTTCTCCCAGTGGCTCTCTGGCCTCGAAGTTGTTCAATCCCCACGTCTCGCTCGTCTTTCACAACAGCGATTACACGATGCTATTCACCATGCTGCATTAGCTCGCCTTGCACGTTCATATGAGCGGCTGTGCACCATGATAAGGGATGTGAAGAGTAGATATGAGGCGCCTGGAACTTTGCTCGGGAGTGAAAGGCCCTTTGGGCAGGTGGCACTACTTTGGCAGATATTTGGACTCGAAGAGGAAGACTGGAGAGAAGATGAGATTGAGAGTGAGGGGCCGTAAACAAGACAGTCAGGATTCAGATAGTCCATGCGATATGACCCTTCTGCTATGAGTTGATGCCTAACACACCAACGTAGCAGGTGTGCTTACTTTCAGTGACTGGTCTACTCCCTCTGATGAACCATGTAACAGACTCATCTCGTATATACAGGTTTTTTATGTCATTTTTACTGCTTACCAGGCTTCTACTTGATTGTCGGCAAAATCACCACGACCTTTCTCGAGCATAATGGTTATAGGCCAAGACTATATTTCTGCAAGTTCTTTCCCGCCTGACTAGCCCACATTACAAGACATATTACAAGACATATTACAAGACATCGAAACATATGTTTAACCCCTAAATGTATGAATTTCCCACAGCACCGGCCTATCAAGAATGAAGAGGTTGCGAGGACGAAGATAGGAACTTCGCAAAGTAGTCTTCAACGGCAGTCAACTCATCAAGAGCCACCACAATGCCAACATAACCGTCAGGTCGGCAGACGACGATGGCTCCGTCATCAGATATACCATGACCGGAGTAGAAATTTCCTCCAAAACGACCACAATTAGATACTCCGTCAAAGTAGGCCCTTCGGATGGCAACAATCAATGGTGTGAATGTAGGGAATGAGACAATGCAACATACTTGGACCAATGGGATCGGAGACGGGAGGGAATCGCGAAGACATTAGCATCTAAGGTATCTATGCGACTGGCATGGACGTCAGGAAGATATTATTGACACGAGTGCAACATCACTTGCCTTATGGTCACGATATCAAACACCGCATCTTCGGGTGCCCCATACGGGGTGTATCGCTGGAGGAATCCTTCTGGTTGGTCTAGTCTCGCAGCTATCGCATCTAGTTTCGCCTTTTGTTTCGGGTTATTAACATCCCCGGAGAATATGATTATTTTGAATCTTGTATCTGAAAGCAACACGTCATGGACATTGTATGGTCGGAAGTCACCCGTTCGCAAGATCTCGCCAGGTGGGACACGCTATAATCATGTTCAGAATACTCGACACGACAAAGGAACTTCGATACAGACCTGGCCAACTATAATTTTGTTTGCAAGCGATTGACGAGACGTCTTGACGTCAACGATTGCTGACGCTTCATATTGTATACCACAACCACTAGCCCAGTTGCCGAAATCAACGACAACTCACCAGCAATGGTCAAACGAAAAGACAAACCTCATAAAACCGGAATAGGCATCACATGTTTGTACAAACTTAGAATAGGTGTGATCGCCCGGTTGTGGCTTGGTTGAGTAGAGCGTAGCAAATACTTTATCGAAATCAATTAAGTCCTGTGCGAATTTATGCCTCTCAAACTCGTACTAGAGGTGGCTCAGTAAATAAATGTTTAATGTGTTAGATTCGACATACTGTGTTAAGCAAAGATGATGGAGCCCATTGACGCAACGTGTATATCAGTTTCCACGCGAGGTTATGGGCATCGTTCATCGATGCATTCATGCCCTGGCCGGCTTTGGGAGAGTGTGTATGGCCTAATGTAAAACGTCAATATTTTAACAGCACGGATAAATGTAACACCTCTTACAGGCATCGCCAATGATGAATGCTCGATTACTCACAGAGAACTGTGATGCAACACGCTGACCAACTGGAGTAGGTCAATAATTGACAAGACAGAGAGATAGGTAGAATTAGAACGAACTTATATAAGCAGTCCACCAATCAGGTTTCTGTGGCATGGTAATTTTGTACGGGTAGAAGAGCTTTTGGGCAATCTGGCGGAAAATATCAGATAATTAATATCCAATCAACGATCTATGAAAGAATACGATAACATATATTTACCTTGATAATATCTTCTGCGCCAAATTGCGATCGGTCAAGTCTACCAGCCTTATCCATTTTTGATTCCTCCAATTGTACGTAGATTCTGACCTGGTGGAGGCAATGGATATCAGGTTCATGGAGATCGTTTTCTCACTGGACGATCTTACCATGTCATTCTCCCGTGGTACCAACATACAACTGCCTTCTTGAGCATGGATTGCACAGGTTAGTCGAATGTCAGGGAAATCAGTTTCAGGAACAAAGTCCACAGCACCCCACACATAATCTAAGGCAAGAGATCCAGGATGATTTGTATAAAGGAAGTATGTAATGAAATAGGCGTACTTGTAGATTCTCCAATCATATCGATACCAAGTGTTTTGCGTACCCACGAATGCGCACCTTAAAATCAGACGATGAGAAATAAAGAATGCGAAACGAAGAGCAAAGTTTACCATCAGCCCCCACTACATATTTGGCCTTCACCACCTCTATAGTATCGTCTTTAGATGCCTGAGAAGTAGCTGATAGATGATCCTCTTTATCAGGGATCAGTCGCTTGAGCACTACCTGTGGCAAAAGCAACCAATACAGTGAGCGTACAAAATGGTCAGCTCATAACGTACCCTGACTGGATGCGAATCTGTACTTTGCAATTCGGTTTCATCATCTGACACAGTAAGCGATATTGGTATCTTAGGTTGTTCCACGTGTACTCCATGCTCATCCATAACACTTCTAAGTAGACCTTCAATTTGAGCCTGACTCAGCGTTGCCTGATCCACGTCTCTGTAATTAGCCAGGATTTCTATCAGCGGAAATGACGAAGTCTATTTTACCTCAAAAGGAAAACGAGAATCTAAAGAAGTGGATTCTAATTTTGTCCGCTAGAATTACAGAATAACAATAAGCCAACCTCAACTGGCGTAAGGAAAAATAAACAACTTACTCTTATACCCCCGTTCGGACTCGAGTTGTAGAATGCCTAAAACAACGTGTGAATCAAGTGCTAGGGCCAACTTGATAAGCTTACATCTGCGTATACTAGCTCTGCTAGTTCCAAAAAACGGTTCGCAATTCCATAACTCTTCGGGTAAAGGCATTACTATGCATCGTAAGGATCGGGTAAAGCTGAGACGCACCTGGAAGACCTCTATGATACGTGGCTGAATACCATCAGCATGTCCAGCAGGGATTCTTACTTCTCTGAAGTAGGACAAAAAAGAAAATGTCAAAAAAGCACGAAGATACGTGCAGATAAGAGTTCGCAAATAGTCACCTTTTATCAACAATACGAGTGCTTATACCAGCACGACCGAGCGCGAAGGCGAGAAACGATCCCGCTGGCCCAGCGCCAATAATCAGCACGTCAACTTGAGATTCATCCTTGTAGTGAGACATGACACTGAGTCTATAAAGCAGGTAGGATAAGTGTGGGGTTAGAGTCCTATGGTGGTTGGAAATTGGTTATGGGTAAGGCCTGCTAGGTGACCTGCTTTATATACCAGTAGTTGAAGATCCGCACTTACTGCCATTACGTTAGCCTGAAACTAGAAGCGACAAGTAAAGCGGCAGTGCTGTCTGACGCACGACTACTTACATTCATGCTGCTCTTCTGTACTTCGTTTTCTTCATTCTCGGCCGCAACGATGGCGTCTGAACCATGACGTGAAGCGGCACTACCGATTTGGGTCATGGTGGGGGACGGCAGTGGTGTAAGTTTGCAGGCGAAGGGGGAAAATCTTGATTACTCGCTCCATTCGTTTTGTCGCGCCTGTAAATGTATTGTTAAGATACCAGTGACAGGAAAATGAAACGAGTAGGAATAGCTACTGGACGCTCTTGTAACACTATGGAAAGCGAATACCGTGACATTCCAATAGACAGATGGACAAGCTTCTATTCCTGATTTATGGAGGATATCTTGATGATGGCGGCGATTCATAGCAAACACGTGCGCTCGCAAACGTCTCCAAATGACACACGTTCTCAACTGTACAGAAGGTCAGTGCATTCCCGAAGTTCCTCTTATGATCCACTGATTATCCAGCTATCTACCATCCACACCCTCACCCTTCTTTCTCCGGATTTGTTTTCGCAAGGTTCCTATATCTTTTCTTCTCTCCCCTCGTTTTCTCTCAAATTATCTCCTAATAATATTAATCATTTTATTTTCAGTCTCTTTCAACAGTAGCATTTTCATACAAAGGCATACTAGTACTTAGCGGTGGTTCCATTGCCTTTGAGAGTTGGTCTATGAAGAACACGGATACAGTAATAGTTTCGGCCCGCAAACTGCTGTAAGATGTAGTTCAGTTTTCCATCCCAAAAAAGACGATGAGAACCCACGAACGTCGTAGACCCTCCCTATCAACGGTATGTCATGATAATGATGACGCCCATCGTGATCTTGCCGTCATGATGTATTTGGAACATTCCTTCATTCAAGGAGATGCGAACATCAAAAGTGGTCTGAGCCTCCGTATTTATCAAAGAAACTGCCCAATTGTCCAGTTCATGGCGGTTGGACGCTGAGAGCATATACTTAGGCAAGTACAGTACTTATTTCTTAACCGCTTATGGCGGGGTTACAACCTGAGGTCCGGAAAGTGCCGGATGACAGTAAACGCCGCGGAGCTGCAAGCTCAGGTATCTTACAACTGTTCTCGAATTCTCGAAATGACAGCCAAATTCATAACGATAGACCGATATTTTAAAAAACCACACGCATAGGAGTTTGACTGACTTTCCACTGAGTTGAATTGAGTTGGAATATTAGACTAAATCTTTAAAAAAACGCTAAACTGACGTGGTTAGACTCTGACAAAGTCACATGCCGGTGGCCGGCACTGTAAAATTCACACTCCGTTTCGTCCCCCCATGCCCCCACGTGGTGCTTTATCGATACAGTATGAATTTAGCTGGAACTATCAGAGTACAATATCGAGTCTGGAGGCTGAGACTTACTCGGGAGCGACCTCCTTGACAGATAGGATCACGACATATACTAGTATGAAATGAGAATGTAGGATTGTTGTAAGTAGGCGTTGTTCACTAGTCCCGGGACAATCAGTGCTAAATAATGCTTTGACAGCACGACCCGGTACTCATTGACAAACCACACCGATGAGTTCTCTCATACTTCATTCACCATCTCACTGACCTGGGTCGGTATGTCTAGATTTGTCATAAACGAACACACGAACGTATCTATAAGGTATTCAGAATATCTGGCTAGTCGATCGATCGTATTGGCCTCACTCATCTTATCTTGAACCATCTTCACTCCACTAGTACAAGCCCTTCAATAAACTGCTTTGTATGATCTTGAGGCTCATAGCACTGCCGGCCAACAACATGCTTCCTGCACTAGAATCTGACAGAAACCGAGCGCTGGATCGCGCATGCCGTCCATACGTTCCATTCTCTGGGTCCCTTTCTTCAGTAAACCTATTTCAATTCATAGCAAGTTGGAAGTAACATTTATGGCTCGTAGCGCATGCTTGAACGTCACAACCACGTTACGCGTAATCTCTCCAGCTCACATTTACTAGGATCTGCGTGTTATATTTGGAGCCGGAGAAGTCGAACTCGAAATTGCAAGGTGTCCAAGTTTCAGTGGTTCTTCTGGGTCGAGATCCTCTCACAATAACTCATTGGGCGAGAAAGGTGTGTGCCGCGGGGCTGCGCCCATCACACTGAAGCTCTAAAGAGATGCATCATAACGCTGTCTTCTATCGAAAACGAACTGTACGTTAGCCATATACCATACTAGTTTCCAGCGAAGGTAAAGATCGAAGCCCACCGTAGACTATGCTTCTTCTCTATCGCAGTGATATACATGGTCAAAGGGGGGTAGGAAGAGGATGTAAAGGGACATCGTCCATTGGCCGCGACATCGATAGTACCGAAAATCGGATCATCAAGAGAGGGCAAGGCTGTTGTCGCATTCTTCCCAATACTATCATACAGCCTGATGGAGAGTAATACCACCCTTAATAATCTTTTATGACCCTACTTCTAGTTTGCAAACTGATGGCCCTAAATAACGAACTTGAAGTAAATCCTACACCATTCACAGGGGGGCCAAGTGTCATGAATAAAATCGGTAGCAGCAGATACGTACTGTATAGCAAATTTGAGCCTCATTTAATCCGATCATTGATGCCTTTGTGTGTCCGAATTATGATCAAACCGAGGAGCGCCCCGAAATGAATCTCGAAGGAAAATAGGTTCCGGCATTGACAAACGCACTGGCGTCTCGTTATGACGTATGATCCTTCGATCAGTGGCTTGGAATCTACATGTGATCAACTGGCCTTCCTCGCTATAGGTGGTTGAGCGTGCTTGGGAAGAGAAGTCGAGAGGACCGTTATCTCTTATTGTAGAAGCATCAATCCGCAGGCAGTCTTTGGTAACGCGGCCTCATATAGTTTGGCACTTTCCTCTCCAGGGTTATAAATCAACTGGCAGCTGGTATGCGATATGTTCTTGCCGACTGTACTTGAAATGTCCAACTTTTCTGAGTTTACAATTTGGGATTTCCTGCTGGCATAGGGGGTCGTATATATTGTCGTGACATTTTTTGATAATGTTGTAATCCCCAGCGTCCGCCGATGTAATAGTTTGCCTATTGCAGCGTGGTAAGGACGGGATTGTGTTCAAAATGTCCTGGGGTTAGCCAGTATGTAGTTGTGCGTGCCTGCCAGTGCCTGCCCTTCGCGGCCTCGTGTCGTTGGATCTATCTAGCTGGGTTGAATATCTCTTCTGTGCTGCACATTGTGGTAATGAACAAGCTAAACCGCTCGATGTGTAAAAGGACCTATTCACCTCACATTTGTAATGAAGAAATTTAATGGAATCTTGCGAATGCCTTTTCACGAGCAGCCGAATATCACCCAACTTTCAGCCAGAATCCTTGCCTATTACTGATCACACAGATATATGAGCCATGGCATGTGCCAACGAGGGGATATCGACAGAACCAAGGCCGTCGGCATTTGTACAAGTGGATGCAAATGATATTCATGCATTTTTATGACCAAATGCACAATAAGTCTTTCCAGCTTAATTCAGAGCGAGTGGTTGAAGTTAGAATCGCTCGCTCACAGAAGATTGAGATCTAAGGTTGGAGGTTTTATGCACAAACGAGGTTTTGTCTTGGTAGTCGATGACATACGGACTGGAAGAATGCCAGATGTTTCGCATTTATGTAATTTCCGTGTACGAGCTAGTATGAAAGGGGGAGCCTCGAGGAAAATGTATTGCCTGTCCGCAGCTTGACATGTCATGGGTTGTTCTCTATCTGGTCTCCTCTGTTGATTTGCTACGGGTACTCCTAGCTCAAGAGGAAATAACGATACAGCAACGCGAAGAAAGCAAGTTTCTGGAAGGATGATAAGACTTATATTAAAATACAGCTTGGTCGACAACAATATAAAAGACGAGCCTTTGTAACTTTCCTACCGCAAGACACTATGGCTCAACTCCCCACTGTCCAGCAACTCTATAAAGTCAAATTATTGAAAAAGACGTTTCAGGAGGCATGGAATGGATCGTTCCCGAACAGTAAGACTTGTCGCGAAGTTGGAGGATACATCTATGTCGGTCAGGACGGATTCATTTGGAATACCTTGGAATGAAAGTTGACACCCTCCTCGAGATCCCGACTCCATCGACCCGAGAAACCCTAGCCGTCTCAAAGTCATAGTGGAGCCGATGACTCTCGTCAGAGGCGATTCCATGAACCAGAAAAATCCAACGCAAAATGCTGCAATTGACTTGAACGGGCCAGGCACAGGTCAAGCAGGAAATTGGATCCTTGGTGAGTGGGTTTTGACGCAGATGCCTACGTATCTCTTAACCCAGACCAGTTGCGAATTTCCATACCCACCCACTGCATGCAAACGCTAAGCCCATCGGCGGTGACAACCTTCCATCCAGGGCGGATGAGAGAAATGCATTCCGTAGGGGCACACCAGGGATTGTAATATCGAGAGGAGGGATCTATGCGTATGGTCCCGAAAGGCGCACAGATAGACACAACCCAAAGACCTACCCGCCCGATGTGCAAGGCGATCCTCCTATGCGAGTCGACTATCCTAGAGTTGGGGGCCGACCCAATAATGCAAAATACGAGTGGGATGGCAAAGTTAAAGTTAATGCAGGTGGTAAGGCTAAAGGGAACACCAACAATAACCTGTATTGTGCATTGGGGGATACCTCGAGTGGCCATCAAGATGATGCAGTCATGGACGCAAATGCTGGATATGTTAGCGAACGTGAGAGCGTAGAATATATGAGTGATGTCTCAGAAGTAGAAGAAGGACCGGGAGAAGCAGAGGTGGAAGAGGAAGCCGCAAACAAGTGACGGCTGGCGAGTAGAGATATGCTCTTGTGCTTTGATGTAAAAATGTTTGAAGTGACTGTATTGATCTTTTCAGTTTTCGTGAACACGTTGTAATACAAGGGAGAGATGAGAACGAATGGGTACAAATATGCCACATAACAATATCCTTGGGAATACTCTCTACTTCGTAAAACCTCAACGAATTCGAACAAGTTTAGGGGACTCCTAGTACTCACTTCGAAAATAATATATGATTGGAGAAAACGTGATAGGTGGAGGTGAGGGACGGTTTCCATCGTAAGGGTATCGCGCAACGGCTTGGTGTGAGACTGTGCCTTGAATTCCGGTAACACTTCCGATGAGGCGGGTAAGATATAGGAGTTACGGAGAAGATGATATCATTAAATATTGCATACAGTGATGGAATTATTTATTCCATCACTATTTTTTGGATACTCAGGATTTTGTACCACTGACAAGAACGAACCGTGCGCCTGCATATGCGTAGCATCTCAGAACCAGTGCAAGGAGGAACCATCGCAGCCCACGAGTCGACAAGAAGCCCGTGAAACCAGGAAAAACATCGTCGGTAATATCTTCGAGCTCTACATCAACATAACCAATTGAGGTCATTGCTCGAACGTACTGTTCAGTCGATATGATGTTTTGTTTCGGCACTAGGCGAAGAATAAAAAACAGGCACTGTGAGCTCCAAGATTGAAGTGAGGGCGGAGTAAAGCATATGTCAGCCAGCGCGACATGGCCTCCAGAGGCGAGACATCGAAAGGCCTGGCTTAGAAAGTCATTGCGAGTTTGGAAATGGTAGGCACAATCTAGTGCGAGAATCGTGGTGTATAATGGTCCTGTAGAATCTGGATCTAGCGGATGGTTGACTGCACCAGGACGATAAATGGCGTCGCCATGATATAAGCACACTTCTGTCTTGGTGTTTGGTAGAGAGTCTTGCAACCGTCTGACACGACAGAGGGACCGCTCGTAATGAACCTTGAGAGACGTTATCCCTGTCAAGCGGGAGGGGGGAGGCACAGCGGGATGGGATAGTTGGAGTAACAGAGACTCGCCAGTCCCATGGCCAACATCTTCGGGATAAATTAGGTAGACCTATGAGTTGCTTGTTGTATTCGAAGACGGCTCACCAAACTTACCCAAAACATTGCCATCAACTCTGCAAGACCCAATATCTATCAACTTTAATGCAAGTGCTTCGATGCATTTTCTTTCATAAAAAACTCAAAACCATTAATAATGTAATTGTATCTCACCTTCACAGGCTTGGGGGAAAGTTTTCTGAGCCGCGTTCTCCTTCTGATTTTCAGCGAGGTTTATGGGAGCAAGTTGAGCGACGCTGCTGTAAATCATACCATACGATAGCAAAGACTCACCTTCCAGTATCCCATATTTAACCATTCCGTCGTTGGATCTACTGGACAGGAACGCGAGGGCTTTGATCTTCTTAGGTCGGACACTTCATTAAGCTCCAGATGAAATAGGCCATATGGATCATTCAATGACATCCCCCAGTCAAAAAAACCCCGCCTCAGGACGGTAAGCGAATACGAAGTTAGTAATGCGAATAGGGTCTTCAGAATTCTTTTACAAGCTTGAAGCTTGAACTTTCAATTGAAGTACAGTTTGCTGGGGTATTGCTAGTGTGAGATGTGCCGAGTCGAGCGTTCGACTGGAGTCGAAATTTTGAGTGTGACTGGTATTAGTAGCGTGACTACATATAATGTCACATACCCCTAACAGCCCAAATGCTTCAAACTTCAGGGTACAATTGAGTGAGCATAAGCAATTGCTCTGGCGAACTTGATATTGGTCTAATCTAATGGTACATATTTATTTCATGGAAAAACCGACTCATATATTCACACGCTCTCATCAAGTTGAGCTGTCCGAGGTGCTGGAAGTCGCGTGCTGGGTCGCAACTTGAACAGACGTCGACAGGGCACTGGGCGAACTAACACGCTTCTTCTCTCCAGCACGTTGTCTCTGTGGCTGAATACCCAGTATTATATCAGCCTCAGGAGTACCAGCGAGAGGAATGTCTTTGCGAAGGGATACTTTGACAGGGTCAAGGCCCTCGTTGTATGCAAGTGCGAACACAACATCTAGATCTGGAAGACGAGTCAATTTCAATGCCAGTTGCACCTAGGTAAACAATATCATATACCTTCTAGAGATCTACCCCCTGTCTCTGGGAAGAAGAAATAGATCATGGGGACGATGACCGCGTTGAGGGCGGCAAAGACAATGTATGTTCTCCAGGAGATGTTGCTGAAGGATGGACCCGTGACCATCACGACAACAAAATTGAAAGTCCAATTTGACGCTGTTGAAGATAGGCCGACTCGAAATCCAGTACAAATGAGAGTTTCACATGAACAAGCGTACCTGTACTCAGTGCATTGACAGGAGCTCGCACTCTTAAGCCAGCAAGCTCCGCACACTACCAAACATCATTCAGAAAAATGAGAGCATCAACTAGCAAAACATGACTTACATACAACCACGCCGTACCCAGCCAACCCAAGGCAAAAAATGTATTAAAGACGAAAAGCAAAACAGCGCTTACAATTTGTGCTGGACCATTATTAATGCTCCCCATGATAGCCAATAATAACATAGTCAACGATTGACCAACAGTGCCGATGATCATCAATGACCTTCGGCTCACACGGTCCACAACGGCAATTGCTATAAAGGATGCTAAAAAGTACTCTGTACCATTGGCGGCGGCAGTGAGGCGTGAAGTTACATCAGAGAGCCCTAGCCTTTGGAAGAGTATCGTCTGAAAGGAGTGAAATAGATCAGTTGCAGATCTCTACATCAAAGCCTTGAACCCACAGCATAGCTGAAAATGGGCATCTTTAATATCGACACGCAATCTCAGACATGAGTTACTCACTAGGTAACCAAATTAATGCCAGTAAGCTGTTGAAACATCTGACACATGACGGCAATGATGGTCCGTCGGAAATTCTGACTTCGTCCTCCAGTCACCAGCTCGCGTAACGATGCCTTTCTATTGCTTTTCTTGTTCTTCATAGCTCCTTCCCCATCATCACTGGACGTTCCAAAGTCTTCCATCTCAACAGCTTCACGTATAGCATAGAATGTACGTTGTACCTCGGGATCAGAAGGTGGTTTGTCTTCGAGAGCTGATATAACGGCCAACGCTTCTGCAGGACGATCGTGTCTAACGAGCCTAAACGAAACACGAAAGTAGTACCAAGTAGAGACAATTAACCACTAACCACGGCCATTACAAGATTCAAGGGCTTACCATCTCGGTGACTCTGGCAACTGTATGTAAAAAAAATGGAGCCAAGCCACACGTCCGTCAATGATCTCGTAGGGTATTACGACAAAAGTACATACAAATCCAATACCCCCAACCAGGATAAGTTCCAGCACTAGTTGCAGTGCAATTGGCACTCTCCATTGTGCAGATGACTCGGGCACAAAATATCTATTTTCATCCTCAGATCCCAGAAGAAAAAAAGGGACAGCGGGAGCAAGCATACAATCCAACATCAACCCACTACCCAGTAGGTTGCGTAAGGCGGAGATGAGCCTGAGATACGACTGGAATACTCACATAACTAAACGAGGGTGTAGATGTTCAGGACCATTCATCATTGATAAGACACATGTAGACAACTTACGCTAGCGTGACACCAAAAGTGATGAGACTCCCTTCTATCATAATCATGCGTCCTCGCTTTGCAGCTGGGGAGCATTCCGCGTGGTATGTAGGGACAGTAGAGGACTATCAGAAGATTGTCAGGCTCCACTTCTCCATGAGAACGAACAGAAACAAGAACGGAAATGCAGCCACTACAATTGATGATGTGACAGAGACGCTTACGAACATTGAAGCCGTTTCCGTAACCGGTGACCACACGAGCGACTATCATCTGTGCGAAACTACAAGAGGTTGCCTGAAGGATGGCACCTACGATCATGATCATGCCTGCCAGAAAGATAGTACGACGACGACCTAGACGGTCCCCGACCCACATATTAGACAGGGCACCTACTAGACAGCCCACTTCCTGTGAATAGACCGATGAGTTTTGAATGAGAGACAACGTGAGTTTTATGACCGACATAGATTGCAATAATAAAACTCTGCAAAATAGCATGATTGGGATGGCTACTTTCCACCACGACTTGAGGGAACGTTTTTTCAAACTATCGAGACACTTCAGTACCATAATTTGCCATTCACCAAGTTAGACATACCTGCCCTGCTGTGAGAAGGGCGGACATAACACCTTGGTCATACCTTCAGGACAAGACATTAGTGGAACGTCTGGGTATCTTCGACATGAAACACACCCGAAAAGTGTGAATCCAGTGCCAGCAACAAATGCAATCGCAACGGACAACTTGGTTCCACGGAGAGACAGCGCATGAGAGGCTACTTCCGCGTCGAAGTCTAAAGACTGCCTTGATATCTCGATTTCTTCATGTTGTGTCTTCTTCTCATCCAAAGTGTCCTCGGGCTGCTGAGGAGGAGTGTCTGAAGCTGACATGATACACAAAGGCTGGGAGACAACTGTGCAAGCTCAGTGGCATAAACTGAAGATAAAGTAACGCCTTACTGACCATCTCACGGTGAAGTAAGATAAACTAGACGTCACGGGAGCCAAATCGAAGAGATAATGTAGGTCTGGTGACGAGGCATTCAGGGCATTCACTCCCTTAGTTGACAAAGAAGTAAGCGGAGAGCTCCGCTTGGAGCCCAAATATCGAAGCCCTGGAGTAAATTCTCCAGCCATCCACTGAATAAGCGTTTCATTTCGTCTAGCCCGATCAGACGAGTCTGGGCAACAGCGCAGCTACCGAGCCGGCAAGCCCGTAATCCCATGGTTTGAAGCATGGGACTCAGCTGCGAATCATAGATATTCCGACCGGTTTCTTATTGAGAGAGCTGTGAAAAGTGCGGGAATCCCGGTTAAATGAACAACGATGGTACGATGATACCTTGTAGACCTTCTGGATTTGTGGTTGTGTGCAGTATGTAGGGGTGAGCTAATCGTAGAAGATAATGTCACTCAGACGATAGTCGTCGAGTGAAAGTGTATGGTTCAGCGAGGCGCTGACTGTATCCTGCCGCCGTTTTTCTCACCTCAAATCTATCTTTACCTCAAGCCAAATAAGATCTAAGAGCATGTCATCAGGTCTACGATGGTTGATGTACACAAGATACATACAGGCATTGATTCCCCTCAATGCGAAGTTGAACGCGTCACGGGAATTGGCTATCTGACGCTAACAGGAAAGTAGTTTACACGTATCAATCTTTCTAGAAAGATAGATGTACACGATAGCGAAAAATCAGAATTGCATTTGAACTCTACTAGAAAAGCTCACCCATGATTTAAGTTTCTTCGCTCAACAGCTTATCATTCGATTAATGGATCATTGCTTGACTCAATATGAATACCTTCTTTCACTGGCATGTCAAAGCAGAAGAAGCCGTTGTGGTGGTCACGGTGTTTTGGAAGTTCATTTCCACACTTAAGCTTGGTGGCGTCGTGTCCGCCTGGGGAAAAGCCCAGTCACGTGCGTTGGCGTAATGCCGCTGACTGTGCGGACTTGCAACTTCAAGCAAGTTGAAGCTTTGAAGGTACTCATACACATGTCACTGGCGTACAAAGAGCGGACACATCTTTAACAATCGTTATGGGCGACATTACCATCCTTTCAATTACATTCTCTTATTTTCTTTGTCCACCTGCTTCTGCCTCTAGGTACTATTCCATCTATGTCTTTGACCAATCAACCACGCTCACAGTTTGATTGCTATATTGGACGCCAGAATGTTATATTGCTTGCATCCACTTTATATCATTGTGAAGAAGATACGAATTAGGAGTTGCCTTGATATGGCGAGTCTTAAAATATGACCCTCAACATCGCCTCATGTCTGGGCTTAATATGGGGCACATCGAGATCCCACATCGACTTCGTTTTCGACGCCACCTGGCTATCGAGTTCGTTGCTAGAAAGCATGGTCTCCGAGTCTAGCCCTTCTACCAGGGCAGCTGTCCCTACCAAAGACCAGTACCACCACTACATTCCCAGATTTATCCTGCGACGCTTCCAGGTCGGTCCCAGGAAGTAAGTGTCATAATGTTGCCCTAGTATTTTCATGTAAACAAGCCCCAGGACGAAAGCAGAACGAAAAAGAGAATACCGTCGAACGGGTATCGACCCAGAATATGTCCTTTGCTATGACTTTGTTGCAGGTACTTTAGATACCCAACCCATAGGCGGAGTATACGGCGTTCAAAACCTCTACAAAGACGTGCGTAACCTCGAAGATGTGAATGAGCTCGAAAAGAAACTTTCCGTGCTCGAAAGTGAAGCTGCCACAGTAATCGCCGATCTCCACAAAGTTCTGGACACAGGAAAATTCCACCTTAAACGTGGGGCACTCGAGAGACTTAGGAAATTTCTCTTCGTCATGCACTATCGTAAGGACGCATTATCTACCACCTACTTTCAGGAAGATCACCCGGAAAATGCTTGCGTACGGAAGTGGATGGAGAGTTTTAGGACAAGGAACGACCTACAATCCTCTGCGGATGTCTGGTTACATGTTCTTCGCTACTATCTGGATACGCCTCACTGGGAAATTATATCGCACGCCTCGAAGATACACAAAATGTATGGCAAGAATGGTTTCTTGGACTTATCTACCGGCTGTAGCGTCAATCCTGAGGCAGAGCATGTCCATAGCCTTGCCTATGAAACACAGGCTGATCGGTACTTCCTCTGTATATGGAGGGCAGCAGACGGGGAGGAATTCATCCTTAGTCAAAATGGATTCGGTTTGTGGGAGGGTTCAGCCGCAGGATCGCCAGGGCTCCACCGCCTATATGTGGTCAGTCCTCAGATTGCTATCATCTTGAGGAGTATACTCTTGCGTCCAGAAACACTGGAAAACCGCAACCATAGCGTTGAGTTAAGCAGTGCCTTGACGGATATCAATCAACATCCTCCTACACCTTCATACAGGAACGGTGACAAAGTGCTCCACTACAACAACGAAGCAGACTTTGACCGATATAGAGCTTCAAAGGAGGCCGAGGAAGACACTTTTGCTTTCCAAATCACTATGCTCACACCATCACAGACCCACGCCATCAATGCCATTATACTCAAAAACACGCGGCCTACTGGATATGTCACGTTTATCTCGAAAGATGCGATGCTCAATACTACTCGTAAATTCTGTAGTCACTTCTTCAACTTTTTCCGATTTCCAAAATACGAACTACTCCTCCCTCACTTAACGAAGTTTTATTGTTCGCCACTTTCCCGTGGCCATTTCACGAGAGACCAGTATGATGAACTGGCATCAGTCATTTTTGACAATTGTACCGATGCCAAAATTTGGTCTCTCCTGCGATCAATCGTTGATGAAGCTTTCAACTTTACTTCAGAATACAACAAAGCATACCGCATGTTCCTACTCTGCTCTACAGAAAGCCCGCCCCCCACATGTATCTTTGCAGAGCGGTATCGTCAGGTGATATCTACGAGTACCGGAAGCATGACGGGAGTTTTCGGGCCCCCTCCCCGCACACTTCGCCCACAGCCATCATTGAAACTCGTCGAGACTCTGCCTCAGCAAGAATCTAACGCGCTTTTCAAAGTCATGAGTAACATGTTGGCGCGACTTGGCTTAGTCTTTGAAAAGACAGACGGCTTATCGCCCGATGAAGCTGCCTTGGATGAACTCTTGCACAAGGTAGTAGTTGTGGGCATTTTATCGTGGTTGGGGAAGAATAGGCATGACTATGTAAATGCCGTGGTGAAGGTCGCTGGATTTATGACCGGTCAGCCTACCTTACAATTATTTGAAAAATGATCAACGCTCCCTCATTGTTTCCAAACTCCGAGCTGAAACTCATGGTGCCGCCGCCACAATCATTTAGTTACGTTGTCATTTTACTCGATATATATATTGCATGCTGGACTGCAAGTATGCGTCTTCCTGGAGTTCATGCATATGCCAGTGTTAGCAGTCTGTAATATATATCGATGGGAACAATAACTATTATCTGGTGCTTTTCCCTCAACCGTCTGTGCAGCGCAGAAGGGGCAGTGAGACACTTTGAACAGAGTACTATTACTGCTGTTTTTGCTGAAAGTGTTGACAAGTTTAGCCTGCAAAGATATTGTAGCCGATACTGCTTCAACCTTCGCATTGTTGAGAAGCAGCGAAGCAAAGTAAAAGATAATCCTTTCTGGACTCAGCAGTGGTTCCGGATGAGAAATATCCTTTGATATTTGGGTGAAAGCGAGATTAGTCTACGACATGATGCTTTGCGGCACCAGAATGTGGATATCGATAGGACCAGTGTTCAACGACCTCGGAGTCACGGTAATGACGCCTAGGAAGAATTGGGTTCATATTTATACTTCTCTCCTCTCGCCTCCATTCTCTCCTTAGCCTCTTTCAAGGCCCACGACTGTATGCTGAAAACACCAAAACCATTCAGACTCTCCAGCCCGAAAGGAGGAACGGCACCATCACTCACCTGGTGTCGGGTTTATAGTACAGCAACACCGTAGCCATCGCCATCGAGCCAAACATCCCGACATACCAAATCGTTTCCCAGTCTTCCTTTACTCGTTTCTGCCCGGGAGGTAGAGGCTTTAAGAGGATGGAGAAATGAGCTCCAGTTGAATTTTTATCTGCAGACGAGAAGTGATATAATACCTTTTCGCCGAACAACCATCCGGTGGGCTCGTTGTACTGGGGCGGCCCATGTGAAGCAAAACGCTGGCCTTGAACGCGTCGAGGTATTTGTGCTCGCAGCACACGCAGAGATGTGGCTGACAGCATGGACGTTACTGGAGAAATGGTAGTTTTATGAGACAGCTTGTCCGAACGTCAGTAGGTGACCTGCAGCACGGAATAAGCCGGCACCAGTACCACCGACGACTCGGAGTCACACTTTTCGCTTATCGTTCACACATATCATAGAAGATTATAGCACTCGAGCATTGTATTTTATTTCGTCGCCACGAATACCATAATAGTACTAAAAAAAGATGCTAAAGAGTCTATGATAGTCATAGCGCGAGTGTGATAAAACACGGCACGCTGAATAACAGCAGTTACAACATCGTCACCATCCCTCCACATTAGTAGTAGTGGACCTACGACACAAGATCAACTCAGAACAACGATGTCAATAAGCAAAAAGATGGACACACCTCGTCCTTCTCACGACCTCGCATGAACGGCGGCTCAGTACCCTTATAGTATATGTCAGTCCAGAGGTCCTTGAGGAGTGGCTCAGGTGATTGTTTGGCTTCCTCAACAGCCTCGTCGACTTCGGCTTTAGCGTTCTTGTCGAGTTGCTGCAGGCGGCGAAGGAAGAGTGAGTATGTATGTATGCATTTTAGGACATCGATAGAAAGCCACCTTAAGCTCTTGTTCCGATGCAAGACCCCATTCCTCGATGTAACGTTGAAGACCTCTGATAGGGTCCTGAGTGCTACGCATCCTTTGGACTTCCTCACGAGTACGGTAGGTAGTACCGGGATCAGACATACTGCATGCGTTAACAAATAAATAACCCCAACTTCAAAGATAAAGAAAGGGAGGACTCACGAGTGACCACCATAACGGTAAGTGACGAACTCCATGAGGAGCGGGCCATTGCCCTCAGTGACCCATTTGCGAGCGTATTGAACGGCATTGCGCGTGGCAATAATGTCCATTCCATTAACTTGAAGACCAGGGATCTTGTCACCACGAGTGAAGTACTCTGTGTTAGAGGAGCTACGCTCGGCCGAGGTACCCATTCCGTACTTGTTGTTCTCACACACGAAAACAGCAGGGAGATTCCACAGTTTAGCCTACGTTGCACGAGATAGTGTTAAAGTAAAGCCAAGAATACAGGAAAGGTCCTTACCATGTTGAATGCCTCGAACACTTGACCCTGGTTACTGGCACCGTCACCGTAGAGGGCGAATGTAGCGGTGTTGTTGCCGAGGTATTTTTGTGCGAAAGCGATTCCAGCACCGACTGGCACTTGAGCACCGACTATACCATTTCCACCGAAGAATGAAGGTGTGAAGATGTGCATAGATCCACCCTTTCCGTGTGACATGCCTGCCTGACGGCCAAGAAGCTCAGCGATAACACCCTTGATAGTGCCGCCACGCATAACAGCGAAAGGGTGACACCGGTAAGCAGTGATGACTCGGTCTTTGGGCGTGATACCGTACTCCAGACCAACAGCCACAGCTTCCTGTAGACATTCACCAAAAGTTGAGCAACTGGACGACGATAAGCCTGGAAAAGGAGAATCACCTGACCGATAGCCAAATGGCAGAATCCACGGATGAGTTTAGCCTTGTACAGAGCGTCAGCAGCCATCTCCATGCGACGCATGGTCTGCATGTCCTTGTACATCGACATGAGTTCGTCCTTTTTCACCTCTACCTCAAACGAGGGAGTGTCGCAGAGGTACGAGCGATACGAGTCCTCATGGAGTTTTACAGTGAATGGTTTGGAGTGGTCTGACGGGTGCTCCTGTAGCTGCGTCGTGTCGGCCGATGTCTGGATGGCTCGAACGAAAGGCTATGACGAGAAAAAGAAAAATAGATTTTCAGCATTGAAAAATATGTTTTTTTTTTCGGTATGTATATGCACTGAGGAGTACTTACAATGCGACGGGGCACACGGGGCCGTATCCTTGCTAGTGAGGCCATTTTGAAGAGAAGAAAGAGATGGGACGTGTCAAGTAACAGGACGATGGGACGACGCGCTGTTGGCTCACAAAATTCGGGTCCACGCGGAAGAAAACGTGGGACACGGTCCGCCACACCCCGTCTCTCATGCTTGTCTTGCGGCCGTCAACAAAACCACTTATATCGTGTATCTCTTAACCACGGGGCTCAAAGTTGGACGTGTCTCGTAGATGCATATGACTGGGCTAGGTTTAGTGCTGGACCAACACATTATTTCCAACAGTTGGTCATTTTAACACTTTCTCAACGCTCAGCCTGAAAGTCACCTGTATTGCTCTCAAATGACATCTTCTCGATCAAAACTACAATCTATGTCTGTTCTATCTTCGACATCCAACATATGGGCTCGAGTTAACTCCTGGATTATTTTAAACGATCCTATCTCTAAGCCCTGAAAAGGAATATCACCGTGTCAACCGTACTTCCAGATCGCTTCGATTTACCATGGTGACCTGACCACCAAGACACTCGCTCGAGATTTCGCGCGCAAAGGCTTCGCAACTGAACCCTTGGGTCCATGGTCTTCATCAAGGGTAGACTAGTATTTTGTTACTCGACCCATCCAAATGGCCGTCACTATCAACCGGACTGTTTCCAGAATAGCGATCATCAAATTTGCGACCAGACCAGATTGGGCACTAATTGTAGAATTTTGGGTCAAGATCATCCTTGTCTAGGCCGGTAATAACAACTTGAAGGTGGCGATGGCATTATCGCTGGGATGAGGACGGCAGCGCTTTATCTTGTTCATACAGAAGTAACCTGCTTCCAAGGATATGTGGGGTCTGCGTTGGGTCTCCGATTTTTTACATCGCTCACCGCCTCTGCTCTACTCCGAGTCGTGCGACTACCGTAATGTTCATTTAAATCGACACATGTGTTGTTTTAAAGGTCAATAACGACTCACAGTATCTGATCTGAGCACGCCTGAATGCATTAATGATCACAGATCAGCTGTTAAACCAATGCTATAACTTTCAGTCAATGCAGCAAGTAGGTTCTAAAAAGGACCATAGAATACAAAAAACTGCCACACGTATGTGGTCATAGAATTGGTTGAATCATTCCACTGGCTTCTGTTCTACTCGATCCAACAGCAAGTTCTCGCGGATTTTCTCTATATCTGCGCTTTGTAAATCTGTATGTGTTATCAAATAATTTTCTGCCCCACCAAACTTTTCCCGTATTATCGCTAGCGTCGCTTTCATTGTCGCAGACTAGAGCAGATCATGAGCATTGAAAGTGGCCAGAGCTGTGGTGTACTTACTTTGCACTAGGAATCATCACCCTAGAGGATTCCCCGATATGCTGGTTGAAATTATCGAACATGCTTATGAAGCTCGGCATGGGAGAACCTAGGCCCAAGGCTCGACAGAGCATAATCATAAATGATATCATAATCGTCAACCCCGAGGATCTAGAGTTCGAGAACGTTAACTTACCACACAAAGTGGCAGTGGTTGTCATACCTTTAGAAGCAGAGCTATCGCTATCCCCGTCCTATCTTTCCCAACTGAATTCAAAGTTGGTAGTAAGAAGTGTCATGTATCGCAAGGAGAAGACTAACCAGAGCAATGAACTAGAACAGGTACATTGGGCTTGTCTCTGAGATGAGTGAAGAAAAGCTCGAAGGCTTTTCCTGATCTTTCCAGTATCATGGTGTACGTCGTCGTGAATGCCTACAGTACCGACCGGTTAGCGCGTTTACTTCCCGTCAAGGGAACAGAACAGACCTCCAATGGAGTTGTTTGGAAGTTCTCGAGCCTAAGGCGAGCACATCGTCGTTTGTATACCTCTACAGAAATGTGCGGAACAAACTCACATCTCAGTTACCTGCGGGGTGCTTTCAGCCTGTTGGACTTCTGAAGGAACCGATAACCATTGGACACCCGGCAAGCCGGGGATAACGTCGCAACCATGCTCTAAGCGCACATCAACGACAGTTTTGATACCACGTTCCATAAACTGTATTTTTCCTTCCTCTGTGATACCCTTGGGATTGGCAGACCGATAGACGAGGTGTTTATTGACCTTGACGGAAGGAGACCGGCGAAAATCACCTATTGTGCGGATATTGGCAACGCCATCGATGTCGACGAAAGGCGGGGGCAATGGATAGCAAGATTTTGCGATTTTTGTGGGATCTATAATTTGAAAGATGATGTCCATATCGATATCGATACAACAAGGTCGATCAAAGGCACCCATCGCGCTGATGCTATCGACGCTGTCAATAACGACAGATGACAGGGTTGATGCGACTGAGGACCGTGTTTCCTGTTGCATGATTGGTGGTTTGAAAGAGAATGATAACTTCTGTGGACGAAGTTCGAAGGACTAATCTGATAATCTGAAAAGCCACAGATACTGGTATTAGACGAGGTCGATGGATTTGCAACGGAGGCTTTGTGAGTTCGACGTCGAAAAAAGAGGATAAGAGGCTTCTGGAAAACTGTGACAGATTATCGTACTTATACCTGGGTCTCGTGCACTAGCTTAAACCATACCGTATGAGTTCCAGCTCCTGGAAATCCATCGAACCGAACAAGGCCTGATATCTCTGAGAGTGCTGAGTATGCTTTGCTCTGTGCATATCTTATATTAGTTATCAAGGACGTCACAATCAGTCATGCAAGTCAAGAGAGCCATGTGCAGCGTTCACATTCCGACCCACATGAGTCCAGCCAGGACGTAAGGCTCTGGAATTGCCTTTTCAAACGAACTGCACGTTTCACCGACACACCAAATGATAGCTATTACTCACCTGATTATGATCGTAATTCGCTTTGAGTGAGAAGCGGGTCGATTCCCATTCGTCCAGTTCATGGCGCTATAACCCCATGGGATGCCCCTCGCATCAAGACGAAGAGGGCTTTGTTAGGTTTTACGATACTTCTCGCATCACGAGTGGACCCGTGTACAAATGTTTTTGTACCGTGGTGATATAGACGATGAACGCGTGTCTGCACTGCCAGAGTCACTCGAATGCCATGAAGGAACGGCCCATATCTCAGGCCCGTCCGTAAGTCTCATCCTCGCTCTCATAATGGTTTTGATATCCCAGTGACAGTTCAAGCGTTCCATGGAGGATGACCCAAGATAATAACCTTGAACTTTGGGGGAAATAGCAGATCGAGGCTCAGAGATCACCCATGTCGCTTCGCGTCCTTGAAAGATTCCCTCTCAGCTGGCTCAGAGGCGGAGGTTGCTCACCAAGGATGTCTATGTTCTAAAGGATGCCACAACCATAGCTCAGAGGATACTGCCAACTTTCCAGGTGCATTGATAGTTGTCAGTACCGTGACTATGTAAAATCGGGCGTTGCAAGCTAGAAACGGAGTTTGTATCCGAATTCACACGAAACAATGTGAGGTCGAGTCCTCGTGGCAAACTATAAGCTTCCATCCGAATCATGTTTAAAAAGAGTCACCTCAGCATTCCGAGCCCCAAGATGCTCAGAGACTCTTCATCTGCGACGTCCCTCCAGCCTCTGGATTATCTTCAAACAAGCCCCGTAAGAGGTCAGCTTGAGGCATACAGTGATACCACAAGAACTGGCTGGAGGTTTCTACAGTGCACCGACACGCCTAATGAGCTGAAGGTTAGTTGTCGGTAGTAGATCGTCCCATCAGTTTTTAATCTCTCGCGCATTAGGTGCTCTTGCCACCTCGAACTGCTCTGCTTTACGGTCAACTTCTTAAAGCGGAGACCTCCGAGCTGGCCAAGCTTCAACATGCGTCTTGGGACCGTATCTTAGAAATCAGGCATCTGAAGGATCGTATGATCAGAAAATGTCAGAGACTTGTTCAGTCATACTCTCAGGCGACATCATCTGCCATCCCTCCCTTTCTTACCCTCCACGCACCGTCCGACTTTCGTATGAAGGAGATGGAAAAGTGGATTCGGCGACAAGAGTCGCATTTCTCCACTACGGAAATCTCGGTCAAAAAGAAATCGTCCGCTGACAAGACGAAATCGCGCAATTCGTCCTGCTGCAATCGCTGCGCAATGAATGCACATGTCACTCCCCATCACCACGTTTCTTCATCGCGTCGCGTATCTATGCTTTCCAGTTCTTCACACCGTTCGCCTGTTGTAGAACGGAGTTCTTCTAAACCACCCACTGCTCGCGCGTCTCCCTCTACGAAAGCGAAAGTCGCCAGTAAACGTTCACATTCGTCATCCCCCGCACGTTCTACCGTTATTCGGGAAGCTCACGAGGAGAGGAGTGTGGTTCACGAAAACAGGACTCATTACCATAGTGAGACGCTTGAGAGCAGGATGTACGATAGTACGCATCTGCAAAGTCGCAAAACACACGACGCCAAGCATCGTGTTGTTTCGGACGATACACAAAATTTCCATCTTGAACTCAGTCCGCCTCGTCACGCACCTCAAATTAATCACGAAAGCGAGGCTATCACTGTCGGTCTCCTGGCTACTTCTCCAGAGCCGCTACCACATCCATATCGTGGCTCGACTTCCACCGATTTCTTGCCTCTTGGCGCGTCGCTAGAGCTATCTGAAGATTACGATAGAGTTCCTGCGTTGCCCATCATTAATTCTTATACTAGAGCAAACGAAGAAGGCCCGTCTTCTTCACCGTCCCCACCATCGGAGAAAGAGGATGATGCTCCTGGAGAGAACGGGACAGCTCCACCATTGCGCCGACGAAGCAGTCTCAAGCGTAGTGGCAGCGCGCTACGACTGAGTATGAACTACTCGAATAAGACTGTCTCTTGGGCGATGGATCGTGACTGGACGGACCAAATGCTGAAGTATGAATTCGCCACTGGCGAAGTGGACGAAATCGGTTAGTACCATTCAGATGTTATCGTCATGAAGTCCTGCTCACGCATGTGTTGCCCAGACCTGGAGTGGGATAGCATTTTTGCGAGATATCAAGAAGAGATGGCTGGAATGAAAGCCATGCGGAATAACGTTTCTCGCGCTCTCGGTTCTCTCCTTGCAGAAGCAGAAAAACTTCAGCGCGAGGACGAGGTGTTAAGAGATCAGGAAGACAGATTACGCCTTACGTTTGACCAGCTCGAGAATAAGCACAAGCAATATAGAACCAAGGGTGCGTCTGCATGTGTTTGAACTTACGTGTTTTACTAACTTGACCTTCATCTTCAGTCAAAGCTGCCCTTCAAGAGACTAAACAGGCCTTGACTTTATGCAGTGCCAAACGGAACGACGAGCTCCAGGCTTCTTAGAATTTCCCGCTTTCTTTTATCAGGTATATACCCGTCTCGTTAACTCGGATTTATTTGCTTTGCTCGATTGATTGATTGTTGTACGCATTTATGTTTTTTACTGTTGTGATCTGAATGATACTGACCGCGATCTTTCTGTCAACTGGGAGTGCGTGGTGGCTGTAAAGTTCTGTGTTGATCCACTCACCTGTTTTTACTGTCGGATATATGCAGTCATTCGGAGGCAGAGGGGCTTCATACCATCCAATCCAACAATGACGAATTACTGACGAATCATAAAAATTGCAGACTTCCCAGAAGAACGCTAAGGGCCAATTTTATGATTTTGGATAGTGCTGTGTGCGAGCACAGCCTGTGCAAAAATTCACGGATCATACGAGCTCGGATGCAGAGATATGTTCAAAGATTCCACTGATTGACGAGACCGAGGCCTTTTCTGATGTCCTCAGCTCTTGCCTTGGCTCTCGTGATCCGTTTTGCGTTTGCGTCCCTCTTGTTTCAAATGGAATTGCTGTGAACGCCACATCTCGTGAACAGGCAGCTTCTCAGAACTCCTATCATGTGAGTCCTCGTAGTGCTTACCTGCTTACCTATGATGCTTCGTTTTCGGCTCCAATGTTTTCTCGCCAGGCCATTAGCGATTAACAATTTGATGGATCTGACAATGAAGGAGCAGAACAATGGAGAATGAGTGAACAAAGGAGGTTATACACAATCGCCACACGCTCAATGCACGTGATAACAACTATATAAGAAACAGGAGAACTGTCCCAGGGAATCATTCGCAGTGGCGTAATACTTCATACCGTTTTCTAAATCACCCTATTTTCACCAGGAAACAACGATTACCTCAAAGACAGTCGGGTAACGTCCATATCAGCAGGATTTAGACTTCACAGTGTATTAGTTTGCGCGTCGTTCGCATAGATTTAGACTTACCATGGAGGTTAGTCCTGGCCCCAGATTCTTTGATTCTGAGCTTAACGTCAAAGCAATTTGGTCTCTTTCAATGTCAGAAGGAATGTATAATGTCAGTCGACCCGCATCAGCATCAGCGATCATCCGCACTTACGCGCGTCTCCATTCGATCTCTTCCCTTCGAAGTACTTCTCGCGATATTCAAGATCGTTTATGCAGATTCTGCGTCCACGTTCAACGGAGTGGAAACCTGTTTGCGCGATAGATATGTTGCTCCTGGCGAACCCCAGGCCGACTCGCCCCCCAGTGACGGTTCCATCCCTATCCCATTAGTCGATCCCCGGGCCGGCGATCCCATCATTGATCCTCTGTCTCATACAAACTTCCCCTATTCTGTTGCATCTGTATGCACTCAGTGGCGTGACATCGTGTTGACAGAGCCCATCTTTTGGGCTTCTCCCATTATCACTGTCGGTGCTTGCAGGCCCTTATTCGAACCTACGTCGCAATCTCACTTCGAGTTATCACGCGATTATTTTCTTGATATCAAGATCGTGTGTAGGGAAGAGTTGTCCGCGTCTCAACCTTCTTCGGAGCAGGCTGATGTAATGGCTTTATTGCCTTATATTTACAAAGTCTTTCACCGATGCAACAGTATATCGTTCCATCTCAACAGAAGCTCTTCTCTCCCCTCACTCGCCCGTCATTTCGGCACCGTCATGTGGAACCTTGAACATGTAGAGCTCAGATGCAAAATTGATGACGGTCGTAACACGCTGCCTGCTCCCTGTCACTGTCACGCGAAGAAAGGATTTTCTTGTACATGGTCACTAGTCGTTGATGGTCATAATCTTAAAGATCTTATCAAGTATCCTGGGGAGCGCCGTGGGCTGCGTCGTTTGGGCCTCCTGTCCGACATCGTTATATCAGGTTATTCCGCGTCCGCAAGTGAGCCGGACCCATTATCCCTATATGATATGCTCAAAGCCCTAGAAGATGTGGGTATTATGCGTCTTACTTTGCAGAACATCGATCTAGACCTGGCAGTACCTGCCACTGTTTCCAAACCCAATGTCCGCTTGTTGGGCATGCGCGCGGTGTCCTTTGAAGATCTCAGTGGTGATCTTATTGATGCGGCCTTCGGGTTTGCTCTGGATCTTGTCGCAAACACAAGAATAACTCGATGCTCCCTCCCCAGAAGCAAGATAAGAACGCGTCATCTCACACTCGAGGCTATCAACAAGGAAGAAAACCTTCACTCTTTTCTTCTCAGCCGCTGGAGAGGTCGCGCGCTGTCAGTCAAAGATTGTCCACAGTTCAATGACACTCCTTCGGGAACTGTCACATAAAGGGAGGGATGGTCAGTGGATATGTCCGGCCATGGACGCCCTCGATATCAGCGGCTGTCGTGACTTTTCGGTGCTTGCTCTCAGAGAGTTGTTAGAGGCACGTATTCAAGCTGCACCTGAGTTTGAAATGCCATGGATGGCGATATTGCATGGGACTGTGTGCCGTTGTCGGGATGTGTCGGTCAAAGCTGGACCTTTCCTTGATGAAGAAAACAGGAAATGGTTTGAGGCGACGATTCAAAAATTTACGTGGTGTGACTGAAGCGGGGCCCCTGAGGTATATATATAGGCAAACGGTCGTGTGCGAGAGATCAGTGTTGTAAGTAGTAGGAATTCGGTACTCTTCATCTTTTGAACGCTCAATTGTACGCTGGCAGAATGTAATTCAAACGGAATTTTCGTAATATAACCACCACATCTTAGCCTTCCGAATCGTCCTAAGACAACCACATATTGCGCGAAGTGACTGACTGCAATTGAATTGAACATCACTCAGTGGTAGACTTATGAAAAATGAGACATAGTGCCACTTCAGGGGAGTTTTCACCCTGAGGCTACAAAGTTTGATGCAGCCATTTTAAAATTACCTGTTCTGCGATCTCTAGCCCGTTTTTCTCCATGAACATCATGTGCGCATTCCCGTAAATTCCTACATCTTCAAGCTGGAGATGTTCAGCATGTACGCCAGCCTCGGTCAAAAACTGAACAGTACAGTTATCATAAACCGCATGGTAGCTCGCCTGGGACGTCACGACCAAAACAGGCACATTAGCCAGGCCAGGCAGTTGCCTTGCAGGCGGCGATTGTTGGTAACAAGTAAAGTTAGTGGTTGAGCTCACAGGTACTGGATGGAGGTCGTCAGGAGAGGAAATTGGGGGGGAAAAGTTCAGAGGAATTTCAGACACTCCATATGGCCGTGCAGCATCAGTCGAAAATACAGCGTTCTGGAACGGAGGTCCGATTGGTTCCAATGCCACAATGGCTTTCACCTGTGACGGATGTGCATCTGCTAAGGGCCACCCGTACTGCCCCGATTGTGAGTGGGTCAGCAGTATCACAGGCTGAATGCGTTTAGCATGTCAATGAAAGTGATCCATATGACATTCGTGAAAACCCACTCCTATTTCATCGAGAAGGGTCGAACCAGCTGCCTGAACTAATTGAGAACTTTCGACTTCTGAAGCCAGACTCTGCATCATAGACATGTAGAAGGCATCAAAGGTTTCATCTCCAACGCTGCCATTTCCCGGCCATTGGGTGTGTAACGAGGCCTGTGGCCATAAATCAAATCTTTGGACAGCGGTAAAATGAGATTCGACGGTGTAGGTGTCGAAATTGGTTAAATTTCCGTCGACGTTCTCTTGCCATGCAGATCGTCCGCGCGCGGGTTGATCTACTAGATAGACCTGCAGTATATCAGGTCAGAAAATAAAGACATACATTTTGAGCTGACGATAACTTTCCTCATACCCTTGACTCATGAAGTAATCTGCCCAACCCAATCGACCGTCAGGAGTATTGAGAAAGTTGGTACCCGTCATGCCATCGCCGTGGATGACGAGGATTGGATATTCCTGTGTTACTGTTGCAGGAACGAGATGCTCAACGTACATTTGGGCATGAGCGATGTCTGAACTTCCTTGCTTGACATAAGATCCACCGGCATAGAAATAATCTCGAGTATGCAGTGTTCCATCTGGCTTTCTGGGCCTGTTCTTCGACGCCTGTGCACTTAACGCGAATCCTACAAGTAAACAATGCAACAGCTTGAACTGGAAAATCATGGCAAAGTTGGGGCGTGAGTATGAAAGTGAGTACCAAGTTGCATTCGGTGGTATGTTGCCTATTTATCAGTCGAGAAGTCGAGGTCGCATGACTGAGTGGTTCTAAAGTTGAAAAGCATTTGTCGGGTCAACCCCAATTACGTTACAAGAGATAGTCTCGTGACCAGAAGCATCTTTAATCAAGACCTCCGAGTCCATCATGATATTCAACGTTGATGAACATTCAATGAAATCCAACAAATTTTAGTGCCCAAATGTCCTACACTCTTCCACTCATGGTCGCAAGCGCCCTCAGAACACGGAAACCGAGAACATCTAGGCAGGATTGGCTGAATTTGACTGATCAACCTGCACGTAAATAACACCGCTTTTCTGCCGCGAAAGTATCGACGGTGGACGATCCACAAACCTTTTCGTATGGGCCAGGCGCTCTTTATCTGGAAACCACCGCATGAAGTCCGCAGGCCATTCCAATCTCAGAAGTAGGCATTCCTGGCTGGTACTACAATATTCGAGCCTTCTGGTCTGGACGCAGTGTCAACAGCTATTGTAATCCCCAATATACTCGGAACTTATTACTTCGTCAATTGTCACTTGCCATCCGAAGGATCCGGATCGAGAATGGGGCACCCTAGAACTCATTTAGTACGTATTTAAGCTTGGGATGGGGATATAAGAGCGAGACTCTGCTATAGTTTTCCAGCAGCCTCTGAGACCCCCCCCCCCTTTCCCATCGACACTGGGCTAACAAAGCGTTAACTGCCACCCCATCGACCCCGTCTAATTCCATCTGTGGCTTTATAGTTTTCCAGAATGGCTGTTGAGACTTCATCCTCAGAATCCGTGCATCAAAATACAGAATCCCTTGTCGTACCACCCCAGTCCTCTACCATTATAAACAACGCCGAAGGCACCCATGCGAGGGTCGCCGATCGTCGACCTTGGTGTATCAAGATCAATCCAGACCACATCTATCGGATAATTGATCCCAACAAAGTCATAAGATCTAGCCATCCATTGCCCCCGCCTTTTGTCAACATCGACGGCGTCGACAACGTCCGCACAATAGGTCATTTTCACCGGTCTCCCTCTGTCAAGATCAATACAAACCTCATATATCGGTCTGCAGACCCCAAGGGTATCACAGAGGAAGGAAAAACACAGTTATTGAGACATGGTATCAAAACCGTCGTTGACTTACGCTTAGAGCATGAGTACGACTCTATCCCTGGCTTACCGGGTGTCGAATGGCTATCGGTTCCTTCAGAGATACAAGTGGCGGCAACTACTGCGCAGGTAACTGAAATGTGAGTTTGTTGGCACGTTTCTGTAGAGATATACAAACGACGATTTGCTCGCCTTAGGCTCGAGAACTTCCAAAATACTACAGTGGAGGTCAGTTCTGTTTCGTTGGCAGGAAGTAAGCGTACTAAAAGATAGGTACTATAGGCATTCATAGTAGTCTATGCCGGGGTGCTGGAGTCATCAGGAAAAGTCTTCGAACTTTTCTTCACTCATCTCAGGGACGAACCGAATGTACCAATTCTCGTCCATTGCTCTGGTTAGTCATCTCTTTACGATACATGGCACTTATCAAAATCAACTTCGAATTCAGCCGGGAAAGATAGGACGGGGTTAGCGATAGCTCTACTTCTAAAGGTACGACAACCTCTGTTACTTAAGGATAAGTTTACATTCCCAAATTTTAGATCCTCGGAGTCGATGATTATGATATCATTTATGATTATGCTCTATCAAGCGTTGGCCTAGGCACTGCAATGCCGGGCCTCATAACTAGCTTTGGTAATAATAACGAGGCATATCGGAAAAACCCCATGGGGTTGTTGAACTTCCTCGGCACAAGGTGAGTTAACTGCAACTTTGGGGGTTATTTTGGTTTCCATGCTCATTATCTGCTCCAGCCCCGACGCAATGATTATGGCGCTGCACCATATGTTGAAAACTTATGGTGGGGCGGAGAAATATTTGACAACACATACAAGTTTACGAAGCTCAGATATAGAGAAAATTCGCAAGAACTTGCTTTTGACAGAAGGGTAGTGGTCAGTGACACGAATTAGTTACCCGGTCCCTGACGCACAGCTATTAAAATAACTTGTATCATAAGAACAGACAACTTGTACAAGATAAGGGGAATCAAGTTGGATATAAATTGCACTACACACTGTAAACAGACATTCACCAAATGTTTAACTCTACAGGTTTCCAGTCCTAGGAATGGTGTCGCTATACCGAAGAGGCTTCAAAAGCAGGCTCGGGTTCCGCTATGAGTCCCGCGGACAAGACATTGTTGTCCTTATGATGAGGCGATTTAAGAGAGATACTTGGGGAGTCTGCCTCTTGAGCGCTTCCTGAGTTATTCATGTGACTATGATCCTGCTCGTCGAAAGATAGAATCTGAGGAAGTGATTTGATTTGATTGGCAGATACGATAGGATTGGACGGTTGGGTGTGAGACATGAAGCGCAGAGAACCGAACGATGACCAGGGGTTGCGCATGGCGTGATTACGGACCCTTGGTTTATCGCTACAATGAATACATCCAATAAAGTCAACCAACAGAAAGGTGTTGAATTAACAATGCATCACGAACCTGGCTACCAAAACATCTGGATTTGGAGTCGATGGGCAGTACCCGAAGGGTTTTAAAGCAGTATAAAAGATACGACGGTAATATTGTGAGCATTCCCCTGTCAACCCAAAAAAAGCGAAAAATAATATGGCATAGACGACGACCATCCAACGGTCCCACTGAAATGCTATCGCGTTCTGCAGGTTGAATGTCCAGACGGATATAGGAATCCGTATGACAGAGGTAAAATCGGCATGTATAACGCCCCAGTTGAACGGATACATTGGACCACCAGATGCATCATTTACTAACGAGAAAATGACTGAAGGTAGTATTATGACAACTTGAGCGGCTGCAAGAATTGTCAGGCGCCAGTACTTTCCAGATTTAAGGTCCTTATTGCTTTTCATGATTTCTTTCATATGGGATTTGCGACGGATTGTAATGAAAATCGTGAGAGCTGCAGAAGGTGGTCAGCATTAAGCAACAGTTAACATCAGATAAAAATCACTGACCAGAATAAACTGCGCTGACTAGACCAAAGATGGGCGGCCACATTATGACAAGTGGGAAAGCAGGTGGTGTCCTTACGGCCGCCGGGTAACAGCCCACTTGCTCTATCAAGATAAAATTATTGGCCTGGACGACATAATCTACAGTAGAGCAGTCAAAATACGGCTGCTGATAGGAAAAGACACCAAACTTACATAAGGGCAGCAGCAGCAAGGGAATGCCAACGCCAATGAAAAGATCGACGAACATATCATGTCTGATCTGAAAATTATCATGTCATGAACTGGATCACGCTGAAAGTAGCTTGTCATCTGTACCTCATCCCGGCTCTGCTTAACGGCCTTCATAGTCGTGATACGATAAAGTCGTCGAGCTATGCACAACGGAGCAAGCTGTACACCGTATTTGGAAGCAACTGCCACATAAGAAGCTTTAAACAACTTTAGGGCGTATTTTCACGTAAAAGTCTTGGACAACTCACATAAATCACACCAGCCCGGGGCCAAGTCGATGGTGTTGTTGCTCCATATGATCGAATTGATAGAGGAATTGAGCATAGACAAGCTAACCCAGACGATGAACAAGCAAGTACCAGTCCTTTCGGCTATGATGGAAATACGTGATGCGAATGTATAGGTCAGATACTGAACCAAAACATACCTCGGAGATGTAATGGCAATTGAAAGACGATCAACACGACACCGAGGAGCGTAAATGCAGAGTATACGTGATTCGAAGCTTGACTGGGGTTTGCCATCTCTGGGGCAGTATCAAGGTCGGGTTGGGGCTACTGCTTAAAGTCGACCAGGCTTGTCTTCCACGGTGAAAATAGTTTGTCATTTTCATGAAAGCATCAGCATTTTATACATTAACAAAACCACGAAGACGGAAAAAGTTAGACCCTTCGGATTCCAAAATTTCAGTCGGAAGCAGTAGCATAGCTATGTGCTGTACATCGGCCCTGAAGCCAATGTCCCGAAAGTCTTTGGTTTTGAAGACACTACTCTGGATCAATGACGCACGCCATAAAAAAACTTGACAGAAGTGAAGATGCGGCCCTAGTCTAATCTCTTCTCGTCGTAGTTTTCAATCCTTCACTGCTCACCTTCATAACCGCAGTAGTAGCCGAAACCACTGGTATTTCATGGTGTCTTTGCTAAACTGCCATGTCTGAAGACGATTGATTTATGTAGGGAGATTTGACAGAGGACTTGTTGCGAGGATATCAACAGTCAAATAACTAGGGGTGGGATGATCAGTCATTTCATATTAGCGTCTGAACAGATTGACGACACAGACTTGAAAATTATGAACAAACGCCATCATTCCTTCGCACTTTACCGCCAGCCGATCTGAGCCCTATATGTCAGTCAACATTCAACGCTCAGCGTCCACTACACTTAAAATACAAATCTTCTTACGACATGACCAAATGGCAGGATGCATGTTGCGGAAACTCTAACCCCGACTACGCACATTCCCTATGTCCGATGCACAAAGTCAGTAATACACCCACGAGTTGACAAGAGAATGTACCAATGCGTGACTCTCAGCCGAGAAAGAAGATAAGTGCGTAGCCAACGATTTCAGACTGGGGGTGTATATTTTGACACATATACAACTGCCCTGACAAAGAGCAAAGTATCCATTGCGGCGAGCACTGATTAGAAAATCGCGGTAAGATCGTAAGACAAGGAGGGCCTGGTTCTCTGGTTTACAGCTCATGTGCTCATCCTGTACCACCGACTGACAAGTCAAATGACATCCAGTATGATCGAATAGCCACCGACCCTATCACGGCGATCTCCAGGATGGAAAACTTGCACGGAACGTGCGACACAGCACTCACCTCCTGTAAAAAAAGCTTGCATAGCATACCAGTGCACTGCCCATATTACCTGAACATTAGTTTTTCAATAGAAAGAGATCCCAGGGCGATCAATGCATTTGGCGTCGAATTATCGAGGTAGAGAGAGGAGTGGGAGGAACTTCAGTAGATGATATGGGACAAACTCGACGAAGAGCCTGAGAGGGCGATTGGCTGTCCTAAAGGAATTCATAAGGAGGCATTGAAACGGTGTCCTCCTCAAACCTGTGTGTGTGAAATGAGATGTCAACAACAAAAGACCACATGATATATATACAAGTACTTACGAGTATTGAGTACCGCTTTCAAGTTTTGTACCCGGGGTCTAATGACCCGCATCGTGCACAGTTTACAGCATGACTGGCAAGACCGGAGTTTTTGACGCCTTCAACGCATTTACTTGAAAACTCATGAAGAAAACTAGGCGCAGAGCCCATCAATGTTCAACGTTCAAGAACAGAATGAAAGGTCATCAGCCATACTTATTGAATCTTTAGAAAAAGCAATATGGTTAATTATTGTCGAACCTCCATTTGTGTCTATACAGCAGTGAATCATCGAAACACATGAGATAACATAAGAATGAACACTTTTATACAGACAGATTTTCCGACAGATTTTCCAGGTGTACTTAGGACCTGTTTTTGATTATGCTATTCAGTTAAATGCTCTCAAAGGAAAATATTCAAAACCTTATCTTTGAATACACACACTAAAGAAAGATTGTGAAAGAATTGTTTTAATTTATGTTGACAAATACTTTCATTTCCACCTGCAATAACCTCTCCGATATCTCTGTGTTCTCTTTCCTGAGCTGTTCAATGTTCTCCTCCAGAGTTACCACGCGTTTCAACACGTCTGGATCCGAAGCTGACAAAGGTTCATATGAGGATTTGCGATCTTTGCGAAAGCCCTCCTTCCCTAGTCATAGCTTGAGCTTTATGATGCTTCAGGGAATTACGATGAAAGGTTTACCTGGGACTTTGCATTTGACCTTGTGGTTAGCACACCACTCACACGCCCTTCGTTCATTGGGACTACGAGTGGTCCAAGCACCAGATGGCCACTCACATTGTAAGTCCCTTGAAGAGCAATTCACACAGACCTAATCATTCCATAAGTGTAGTTACAACTGAAGAATAAAGATGGGACACTCACCAATGTTTCTTTCCTGATCTTCTTCGTTTCAGGATCTTTGTCACTCAAGGCTCCCTCAATTATAAGGCCTGGAGTTTTGGATTGGATTGCCGTTTTGGATCTTCTGCGCTTTCGCTGACGAGGGGATGCTGATGAGAAGTGGAGCGGTGGAAGTGCGATCTGCTGGCTTCAGTGAAGGGGGTTTTCCCCTGGTATTTGAGGACAAGTTGGGCACAGGTGTCGGGGGTGCGTGCTTGGCCAATAAACCTACAACCATGAGTAAATAAATTTTGACAATTATGTGGACTAACTTTGAGGTGGATTAAGCCACCAAAGATTGTGCCCCCAAGTCCTCCTCATCAGTTTCAGCATTGTTGTATCCTTCATCATTTTTGATGTTCTCATCGTTAGGCCCAATATATCACCTACTTCGAAATCATCTGGGCTGACAGCATGCGAAAATATTATGCGCCTCAGACTCAAGATCGTCCTTGGGATCCTTGAATGTTCCTCTGATACAATGATGGTATCTATATCAAGCTGCTAAAGCATTAGAAGGATAACGCTCGGAGCCGGATGGTACTGACCCATTCATCTTGCAGGCCATGTAACAACCAGCGCTGCAAATGTGGCCTAGGTGCTGTAAATTTATTCGCAGCAGATACTATGCTCTTTGCATCAAATTTCAAGCTTGTTACTAGGCTATTGAACACTCATGTTTGCCATGTACGCTGAGTTTGAACTTGGAATTGACCAGATACAATGGTTCCGAGTCATCCACCACAGCCTATAGTACGATAATACTACCAACCCGAGCCTTAATGACACAAGTCTTCGAAGGAATTTTCAAGTCCATGCCAACGCAATTCACTGTATCCGCTCCCTCATGTCCATAGGAAAGGTCAATTACATAACTTGAAATAGGACCGAAGTTCGACTAATACATTTTGCCTACGTACTAGCAAGTGTTCTACAGTGCATGTTTTTCGCGCGTGGATCAAATCTATGAGCTTCTCATCCAGTTTAGTGTCCACCTCTCGTCACAGTACTCTGAGCATGAATTCCGTGCGTTGACCATACCTTCATCTTGTCCCCCGCACACTGACCCCCACAGCTGGTAACAGCACGGAGTTTTTGGTTATCCATTCTGATTCGGGATCAGCGAGCTGAGTGAACAGCCTATCATCACTTGGTGGTGCCTCGTTTTTTCTGCCACATACTACGCTCCTCAGCCTACGACCCCGTGGCATTGTACCATAACGCCTCTGAGTTTGGTAGATTGGCCGATCCAACTTATGTTGCAATGCAAGTGCCAGCATCCTTTGCCAACGACATTATGATAAGGCGGTACGTACGACACACTCTTTCAAGCAATGTCACTCCAATCTGAATCTTCAATGGTACTGATTTTGCATGTTGGGTCATAACAGAGCCTTTGGTGTGGCAGGTTACACAGTCCTCGTGTGGGACTTTGCCCTCACTCTGTGCAGGGAGGTGAGTATATGCTCTAAGGTAATTGCACTCAATGCCGTACTCTGACTGTCCTTGCAATGTGCCTACTGTTTAGATCCGTTATGTGTGGTGCTCGAAATTGTCAGCCGTCAACCTAGTTTTCCTCGCCAACAGGTATACGAACATTGTTTGCCAAACATTATTTATTGCGCAAGAATCGGCTATCATCAGAGCGCCGTCTTATCAGGTTGGTACACTCAGATTGAGCGGACAGATGGATAGCTTATACTGTTTTACCCATTTTATTGTTGGTTTATATTGACTCCTTCATTTGCACAGTTTTGCGTAAACTTCAAGTCATTCTTGGCTTCGTTTTTAATCATATCCACTGAATCGATTCACAGTAAGTCTGTACACAATTTTCAACTCGTTCACATCTTGTATACAAAATCCTTCCCCTTAAGTCTTGGTTCTTATGCGAGCGTGGGCTTTTTGGGGATGTGAACGAAGCAAAGCAGTTATCATGGCCACGGTATACGTGGCATATCTCCTTTGCGTCATTGGGCTCACAGCGTGGTGCATGAAGGATCCACAGTGTGAGTACATTGATTTCCTATGTTCCAAGCTGAGTAACACTAGCTGACGCGAAATCGTGCAGCATTGATACACCATTACATGGAAACTATAGGCACGTGTGTTTATGTAGCTGCCCGTATGTCGCTTCTATGCCTTCAACAAACATTTACCGATACCTTGATTGACACTGATTACTGCGGTCATAAAGCATACTCGGTAAGTTAGACGTGGTTGTTACTCCACAACGATAGCTGAAACTGTTTGCTATACCAGTGGTCTTTCGGGGTTATAAGGTTGGTTGCCTATACATGATAATACACCAGGTACTGAGTAGTCTACTCAGCATCGTTCTGGACTTGTGCATCTTTCTCGTCACCATGAAAAGTCTTAGATTTTATTCCGAAAGCCATCCAGAGTCATATCCAACCCCGTTGCTTCGTTTACTTTATCGAGACGGTGAGTCCGTTCCCGTACTGGCAAGCCAACAATTAACAGTAGGGTCGCGACATAATAGCTATCACATTCTTTTCGGTACGCACTTTCTCTGCCTTTTGCCTCCAGAAATTCAAGCTTACAATCTCGTCCACCACTCTGCGGGGTGTTAGGTCAGTATATTTAGTAGTGCGTTTGTTATTTTTGCGTGGTGAGTGTTAATTTTCTCGTGTGTGCTATATTGTTCACTAAAGTGCTATATAGGACGGTATATCAAGACGTAAGGTTACATCTTTCACTTCCTTCACACACTCATGTCATCATCAACTCCACCCTAGAGCCCCAAGAACATCATCTCCATAACGTACGTTCCCTGGCACCCGCATACCATATGCCTGCCAACTCTGCACTGACCGCTCCCTCTTACAACTTAGATTCACTATCCCGCTTCTTAACGTCATTGGCCAGCGCCTTATTTTAAACTTGCGCTCGACAGTGGCACATTCGCATCGGCATGCAATGGATACTGAGTTGCTGAACCAAGAAATGAGCCGACAGATCCGGGCTATTGTGGGCGTTGGGACGGACATTGTGTTGAGCGAACGTGAATGCAGTTGTCCGCTTGGATGTGAGTGTGTTTGCGAGGACTTGGGGGTTAGCACGGCGCCTTGGTGTTGTGAGCATAAACAAGAGCGGGTGCAGGAAATAGAGATAGAGATGGGAGGCATGGTTGCAATCGAAGGGGTTGCGTGTGGGGACCTGGGGATTTGAGTGAGAAGCTGTCGAGAGTGTGTAGATGTAGGACATCATTGTAAATATGTTATAAATTGGCCGTCACCTGAATTTTGTGGGTTTGTAGGAAACTCGTGGTTTGTTCATTCTACGTAGTACAATATCACTCCTTAATGATTTTCCTTCAGTTGGTAAAATTCAAGAGGGAGTGTCAAATGGGCTGAGGCTGCTTGCACGCTAAATCGTACTTTGCCGTTGTGAAGCTTATAGTGTGGTATCATTTTCTTGTTCGCTGTATCATTTTTGAAGTGAAATACTTCTCACTCCCTCTCTCCTTTTCATATTCTCTTCGGAAATCGAGCATTTCCATTATTTCCTGTGCGCCTGTATTGTCAGACGCAGTAGTAACACCGGCCCTGCGTAGGTCCAATCTTCCATGACACCAGCGACGTTTTTAATACCGTCGAGCACAATAATATCCTTCTTGCCCTCCCAACCGCGTTCTCCGAGGAACGCGCAGGTTTTGCTAGGATAGTCGTCTACAGCACCAATGTAGTGCAGAAGACCCGTCCATCTGAATTGTGGAAGATATCAAATCTTGTCAGTCCATGCAACTACGGGTGCGAGATGACATGTGCCGTTGTGGTTCAGAATATAGCAGAGTGTAGGTAATACGGAGGGGTGAACGTTGATTTGAGCTATTATCGGGACTATTTGGTATCTGAGATAGTACGATAAGTTAGGATGCGAACATCCTCTCAAAATTCAAGAGAGGATGGGGAGTGTCTGACTGTGTTTTGGGGGTCGGGTGAGATACCGATTTCCTCTCTCTTTTTGTCTTTTTAACACTTACGTTAAAAGAGGGAGGGGAGGGAGAGAGAGAGGAAGAAGCGATAGGAAGGGAAGTGCACTCGCAATGGAGTGATTAGAATCGAGTATCGTTCCAGATTGTAGAGAGGCCGTATCAAGAGGGAGGTACTGAGTTGGTGTGAAGGATGTGTAGTGCATGGATTCTGAGTGAGAGAAACGTAGAATTTTCTTGAGAGGATGGGGAGTGTTGGGCTGTGTTGTCGAGGTGAACTACCACTTTCCCGCTCTCTCTTTTTCTTTTCTTTTTTAAATCCTTTTTCAAAAGAAGAGAGAGAGAGAGACAGAGGAAGAAAAGATGATAGAAAGAGGGGAAGCGCGCTCGCGATGGAGTGATCAGGATCAGTAATTGTTCTCCGATTGTCGAGGGGCCGTAGCGGGAGGAAGGAAGAGCAGAACTGAGAGTTAGTCGGTGTGAATATTGGCTAGCGCAGGCCCGATGAGTCGATTGAGGGAATACCTTGGGAAGAAGAAGAAAAAGTAACGTGTAGGGCGGTGAACAGTCGATTTTGCGAAGATATTGGGAGCGGACTGGATTGGCAGGGTGGTTTGTGCTTTGCTTTGCTGACGTGAAAACAGACTCTCTGATTCTTTTTTCTTGCGTTTTGCTGTACGGTTCGAAGGATAGAGAGACGATACAAGGAGGTACGCTAGAAGAGTAACCAGTGATCGTTCTCGATTGGAATACGATGGGGCGCTTTTAGATGTATCGAGGGATGGGTCAGGTGGTATGCCACCAGGGAGGGAAATGGACGGGGTGTAATAGACTGGTTGGCAAAGGCAATAGACGAAAGTGTTAGATGACGGCAAGTCTAGACTCAGCGGCGGTGACTACTACCAATTTCCTGTTGACGTCTGTTTGGCAGAGCGAGTTTCGGTTTTAAAGATGATCGCCACTCTGCACTTTGTGTCTCAATTCCCAACTCATTTCGAATTCTACTTCATCTACAAATCCTCTTATATCGTTTTCTCACTCTCTTCTATCTATTTCATATCACCCAGCATCTTATGCGATGTTCACGGAGCTGACTGACAGCATTGTCCTTATTTTTTAGGATGTTCAAGGACCAGGCATTCTCGCCTGGTGAGTTGAACTTCTTCCAAAACTTGACGAGTCTTAGTAAACTCACCGAGCACAGAGTTGGGCGTGTCCTCCATCCCGATTTCCACGTCGACAGACGTGAAGCCATCGAAAACATAAAACGTAAATTCCTCACCCAACGCAAATCCATACCTTTGTCTTCCAATGCCAATCACATCCCATCCTCTGGCCGCGCAGGGTCCACCAACTCACCCGGGCCCGCCGTCGATACCCTCTAAGCCCACTTCGAGACGATATAGTCCCACACCGGCTCCGCCCAAGCGCACGTCGAAACCCTCCAATCTCACTTCGACTCCCTCGCGTTCACCTCCAACTCCCTCCTCACGCACACCGACTCTCCGGACTCATGTGGAGAGCCTACAAGCGCACCTCATCTTATCGCACTGGTAGGTCCCCAAGGTACTGTAGGCCGTTAATTATGGAGGGGTTTCTTTTTCGTCACCAAGGAGTACCGAGGAATATAAAAAAATGTTGTGTTGTACACCTCGCAAGGTAGGTTTTTGAGGTGTATTGCATGGGCAAGGTAGGTCATACATCATGTCACATTATTCTGCTGTTCCTGCTTCATTCAAGTGGTTCCTTATCAGTTCCATGTTGATTGATGCCTCTTCTGTTACCGCAGAGAGAGGGTTCTCATTTTCTTATTATTATTTTAAATTTCAACCCATCACACTGGTGCGTTACAATAGGTAAGTCTTTAAAGGTAGGTCTTTGAAGGTGGGTCTTAGAAGGTAGGTCTGTAAAAGGTGGGTCCAAAAAAAGTTTCTAAAAGGTAAGTCTTTAAAGGTAGGTCCTTAAGTGTGGGTTTTGAAAGGTAGGTTTTTGTGGGGAGGTTCTTGAATGTAGGTCCTTGAAGGTAGGTGATATGTTATGCCATACATTATTTTGCCGTCTGTGCTCTGTTCACATTGGTTCTTTATTGGTTTTACATTAATGCCTCTTCTATTCTTTATTTTTATGTTTACCAGAATTAAGCACCCTAGTATTCGTCTCGCCGGGGCCATGCTCCAAGGGAGATGCTGGTGCAGTGGTAGTATTTCTAGATTACAATCACATTTCTGAATACAAGTATATACTTCTGATAACAAACTTAAAAATCTATTTACAAAATGAGGAGCCACCCTCTTTCCTTTATTGCTTGTGCAACACCCCGGAGCAGGGGCCACCTTGTTGTGGTTTACTTCATTGTTTATAGGAGCGAAGGCACCCAAGTGATCTAAGGTCTGAACTTTTTTCCCTGAGCCTTTGTTACAACCAAGAGTTTGTCTACTCTGGCACACAACTCAGACAAAGCTATAAAGAAGTGAGGGGAGTGGTTACCCTTTGGATAGGACCAAGTTTGTTGTGGGTAAACAACAGGAGGACTAGCTAAGAAGTCTCCTTGATGTGACAACACCAACAAGACACAGTCTTGTGGCACTGGAGCACAATGAAAACAACACTCAAAAGAAGAGGAAGAGGTGGGAGAAGTTACCCATTTGGTAGGAACAAGTTAGTTGTTGGTAGAATAACAGGAGGACTTGCTGAGTCCTTCCCCATGTATTGCTCCTGTATATATACTAAAATACATGAAGTACTGTACAGTTGTAAATAAAGTTTAAAGTCCGATGTTTAGCATGTGACCAGTCACATGGTGAGCCTAGACACTGGTCAGGTGATGTGTCACATGACTGGTCATGTGACTATGAAAAGTCGAAAATGTAAAGTAAAGTAAATGATCACATGATCAGTCATGTGACTTGGAAAAAGAAAAGTAAAAGTACAAAAAGTGAAGCGTAAGTAGGTGCTGGTATGTCAATTGTAACACTTGATCTATTGGGTATTTACACTACTACAGTTTTTTTATACATATGTTCTATACAGTTGATGGGGGCCGTGGCTGATGATGTCATAGGGCGCAGCCCGTGTAACCAGCTCCACTGCATAAGATACTTCGTAGCTAAAAATGAAGAAAGGCAGTGCAACGCAAGAAGGTGGAGTTTGAATGAAAATGGAAAGTGCTGCATGACACAGTGTGAAAACTTACAGAAGAAAGTTAAAGAGGAGAATGAAATTTAAAGGTCCAAAAATTGTGTATTGTAACACCACCCCCCCTCTAAGGCTTGACTTCCAGGCGAGACCAACTACGTGGTAGTTAAAGTTGTGGGCATAGGTTGAAAAAGGGAATTAAAAAGCGTTGAATCCATGCCTTTAAGCTTCCTAGGAGCTGAGGGATTCTTAGAATAAAATTCTCGGATAGGATCGTGGGAATTGTCCAGATGGGCTTTTGGTTCCCACATTTTGTCCTTGTCTCCATAGCTCTTTCATAGGACTATGAACTCTAATTTTCCACGCTTCAAGCGTGCATCCACCACCCGTTCAACTTCAAATTCTTCTTCACCTTTGTGACTACAACTGGTCCGGGCTGGTGTTGATGATGAGAACTGTTGTTAGAAAAAAACACACACAAAAACAAACTAACATACAATCCTCCCAGATTCCACGGAACTTGTTTATGGGCTTTGCCTCCTAGAACAGTGGAGTGGTCTGGTTGTTCGTGGGGTGGTATGTATAACGATCCTTCAAAGTAAAACCCAAAGATGTATGGGTGTGTGGTTTTGAGGAGGAGGGATAGTTGGAATGCAGAAAGATAGGGGCTTTGTGGCGAGTATAGACAAGCACTACCTTGCTAATAGTAGCACAAGGTAGGTTTGAGAACGACAATATGACGAGGTTCCCAGTGATAGCAGGCTCCTGACGCACAAACTGTAGTGCTCAGAAGGACTCTAATCGAAAGGGATGACAATGACTTCAAAAGTGGGAAGTGACGATGACAACAGTTGACAGTGGTAGCAGTGGGAAGTGTTGTGACCACACTGGATCACAAGCAGCAGAGTAGTGAACTTGAATTTAGAGAAGAAGTCTGGAATAGATTTTTTTTTTTTTTTTTTTACAAGGTAAAATACAGGGGTTTATATAGTGAAAGAAAAGTAGGCTATGCACAGTATAGCTGTGCAAAAAGAATGAGAAAGAATATGAAGGAAGGAATGTATGCTGACAAATCCTGTGCAGGTAGTACAGGATAAGATTGTCAAAAAAAGGAAAAGAAAGGGATAGAACAATGAATGCTGTGAGTAATGTCACAGGTTTGTACAGCCATAAAGTAAAGTCCAATAGCAAAAAAAGAGCAGGAAAATCATGATGTCATGGGAAGATGCAGTAAAAAAAGGGCAAGGCAAAACACTATCAGTATCAACACAGTTCCTTTATTGTCAGTCAGGCATTCTAAACAAATATGTGTCCATAAAAATGTTTCAAAAATCAAAAATAATTACACTGTAAATGAATGTTCTGCTGAAAAAAAGAAACTGGAGCCACCAGTCCACCACCTAGTCCAAATCCAACAGTTCCATGGCCTTACCAATGGACTGGTTGTGTTGGACCACCTGATCAAACGAGGGAGGGAGAGGAGTAGTTCCAATTTGGAACAAGTGAGTCCCAGGCAGCGTGTGGTAGGTGTAGCTGTAGCGAAGACAATGGACAAAAGATAAGTGTACCCAAGTGAATGGGACAGCGATGAACATGGGTGATGCAAGGGGATGGACCTTCTCCAGCTCAAAAATTACCCACCCACGCTCCAACCAGGCAAGACGAGCAACCAATGTTTTGATAGTATATGATGGCAGATCAACGTCATGAAGATGGACCTGTTGCCCTATTTGGACCGGCCGCCGGGGCTTTGCTGATATCAGCAGTGGCACATGGTAGTCTACGGATCAGCGACGGAAGCGGATAGGAAGTGGTGACATCAGAAATGGTGGGGGTGCAAATAAGATGAGGAGGAGGAGGGTGGAGGTGACGAAAAAGTGGATTAGAATGGGGATCCAGAAACGATCGTCAGGTGAGAATAAAAAGGAGAGGAAGGGGCCCATGGTGGGGCTAGGCAAAGGAAAGGGAGTAAGGGAAACGACATAAGCGAGGGCGCAATGCAATGTGTAGCCAGTGGCGACGCAAAAATTTGCCGAAATACCAAAATGCAGAAAGTACCGAATGGAAAAGC